CCCGCCAGCAGGCAGAGCCTGCCCTGGTCAGACCAACCTGCCCACCTCTGCACTTGATGGTGCACTTCTCAGTGTAAACTTACGAGCTGGCATTTTAAGAGCCTCTAGAGAGTTCGAGAACTATTAATTGATACCTATTCTCTTCCAGGTACAATGCTTGGAGCTGACAATACAGATATAAACAGACATGGTCTTTCATATCATGGAGACAATAGTCTAGTCAGGAAGACAGAAAATATACAAGTAGACAAAAAAAGAGATACTATAATTTCCCATAGTGACAAGTGTTTCGAAGTGGAGCAGGTAAATGGGAATGAGAGTCACTGGTGCGTTGGAGGCAGCGTGGTCAGGGGAGACTGAGACACCGGTGAGGGAAAGGAAGGAGTCAGAAAAGGGTCCAGGCAGAGGGAACAGAAAGTGGAAATGCCTTGGTCGGCACCACAAGGAGGCCAACGGGTCAAAACGGGTGAGCAGAGGAAGAGCTTTCTGATGAGTGGCGCTGCCCTGTCCCAGCGCGGTTGGTGAGGATAAAGAGAAATGACAAAACTCGTGTATTACTAGCACGAGGATAACTCAGTACAGCGCTGTTAGAACACTGTTTGGCAGTATCCACTAAAGCTAACCATACGCCTACCCAATGACCTAGCAATTCCACTCCTAAATATCTACCTACAGAAATGAGTACACAGGTTCACCCAAAGGCAAGTCCAAGACTGTTCACAGCAGCTTTCCTCGTAATAGCCCCAAACGTGGAAACAACCAAATGTCTGTTAGCAGGAGCATGGAGAAATACATTATGATATATTCTTACAGTGAAATACTATGGATCAATGGAAAAGACCAAACTACAGCCCTGGCCAGTTTGGCTCAGTGGTTAAAGCATTGGCCTGTGGACCAAAGAGTTGCAGGTTTGATTCTGGTCAAGGGCATGTGCCTTGGTTGCAGTTCAGTCCCCGGCCCTTGTCATTCTCGTGCGGGAGGCAATCAGTTGATGTGTCTCTCTCACATCGATGGTTTTCTCTCTCTCTCTTTCTCTTTCCCTCCCACTCTATCTGAAGATAAAAAATGGATGCCCAGCTGGTGTGGCTCAGTGGTTGGGCGTCGACCTATGCACCAAGAGGTTGCCGGTTTGATTCCCGGTCAGGGCACATGCCCAGGTTGTGGGCCCGATCCCCAGTGGGAGACATGCAGGAGGTGGCCAATCGACATTCTCTCTCATTGATGTTTCTATATTTTGTACTCCCTCTCCCTCTCTCTCTAAAAATCAATATTAAAAAAAAAGATAAAAATGGCTCTAGCTTGTTTGGCTCCGCGGTTAGAGCATCAGGCTGTGGTCCAGAGAGACCTGGGTTCGGTTCCCGCTAAGGGCACGTACTTCGGTTGCAGTTTGTCCCCAGCCCTGGTTGGGTTGGGCAGGTGACAACCACTCGATGTGTCCCTTTCACATCGATGTTTCTCTCTCTCTTCCCTCTCTCCCTCCCACTCTATCTGAACAAAAAATGTGAAAATGTCCTCGGGTGAGGATTAAAAAAGAAAAGACCAAACTATCGCCCCATGCTGTATGCACAGATGAATCTCATAGACATAATGTTCAGTTGAAGAAGCAAAAGCATGTATTGGAGATTTCCATTTATATCAAGTTCAACGACAGAAAAAATTGGTTTCCTTTGGTGGGCTGGAAATGTTCTATATCTTGATCTGGATGGTGGTTACAAATATATAACTACTCAGTGAGGTATGTATACATTGAGGATCTGGGTACTTTAAATACACTATTCCTCAAAACTTTTTAAAAGGGGGAAATAATAGTCTTTTTTTTTTTTAATCCTCACCCGAGGACATTTTTCCATTTTTGGTTCAGATAGAGTGGGAGGGAGAGAGAAGAAGAGAGAGAGAGAGAGAAATATCGACATGAAAGAGACACATCGAGTGGCTGCCACCCGCACGACCAACCAGGGCCGGGGACAAACTGCAACTGAGGTACGTGCCCTTAGCGGGAACCGAACCCAGGTCTTTCTGAACTGCAGGCCGATGCTCTAACCACTGAGCCAAACTGGCCAGGGCTTGCTTTTTTTTAATAATAATAGTCTTTTAAACAAATACTGCTGGTACAACTGGATATCCATATGCAAAAGAATAAAGTTGGACCTCATCCTTACACCATATATAAAAATGAACTCAAATTGGTTCACAGATCTAAATGTAAGAACTAAAACTATAAAAATTTTATAAGAATATATAGGAGTAAATCTTCATGACACTGATTAGGAAATAGGTACTTAGATACAACACCAAAGCACAAATGACAAAGATAAAAATAGATAAATTAAACCATATCAAAATTTAAAACTTTCATGCTGCAAATGATATCACCAAGGAAGCAGAAAGACAACACACAGAATGAGAAAAAATATTTGCAAATTACACATCTAATAGGGTCTAGAATCCAGAATATATAAAAAATAACTATTATAACTCTTAATTAATCAATGTCACCCCAATAAAGTCAATAAAAAAGTGAAAAAAGCATTATAACTCGATAATAAAAGATAACACTGGAGAAAGGTTCTGATTGACATTTCTTGAAAGAAGATACAGAAATGAGAATAAGCCATGAAAAGATGCTCAACATCATTAGCCATCAGGGGAATGCAAACCAAAACCACAGTGAGCCCTGGCCAGTTTGGCTCCACAGTTAGAGCTTCTGCCCTCGGACCAAAGGGTTGTGGGTTTGATTCCTGGTTGGGGTTGTGTACCTGGGGTTGCAAATGGCCCTGTCCCTGTTGGGATCGTTAGGGAGGCAGCCAATCGGTGTGACTTTCTTACATCAATCTCTCTCTCTCTCTCTCTCCCTCCTTCCCTTTCATTCTATCTTCAAAAAATCAATGGAAAAATGTTTTCGGGTGAGGATTAACAACAAAACAAAGAAACAAACCATAATGAGATACCACTTTTCACCAACTAGGATGGCAATAATAATAATAATGAAAATAATGATGACAATAAGAACTGTTGGTAAGGATCTGGAGGAATGTACTGCTGGCAAGAATATAAAATGGGGCAACTCTCTTGGAAAACTGTGGCAGTTCCTCAAAAGGTTAAACATAGGGTTAACACGTGATCCAAAAATTCCACTCCTAGGTCTGTATCTAAGAGAATTAAAAACATATGTCCACCCCAAAACTTGTACATGAATGTTTATTTCAGTATTATTTATAACAGCCAAAAAGTGGGGGAAAAACCTCAAATGTCTATCGACTAAAGGGGTAAATAAAATGCAACATGTCTGCACAATGGAATCTACAATGGAATATTACTCAGCAATAAAAAGGAATGAAGTAGGGATACATGCTACAACATGGATGAACCTTAAAAACATTGTTAATCGAAATAAATCGCAAAAGGTTGCATATTATATGATTCTATTATATGATATGTCTAGAATAGCCTATCTATAGATTAGTGGTTGCCAGAGGTTGGGGGGAGTAAGGTAGGGGAAGGGAAAGGGTTGGAGAGTGCCTGCTAATGGGAAGGGGGATTTCTTTTATGGGAGATAAAAAGGTTAAAAAATTTTATTGTGGTGATGGTTGCAAATCCCTGTGAATGTACTAAAAACCCTGAATTATATACTTTAATTATGTGAATGGTATGGTATGTTAATTTATCACAATGAAGCTGTTTTTTAAAAAGTATATGTGCGTGCCTCTTTCAGTCTGTTTCATGGTCCTGGTCCCATCCTGAGTTATAGGATCTGGAAGCTACAATCCAGAAGAGAGATGTGCATGGACGGAGCTGAAAAGGAAGACCAGCTGGAATAACTCCAGGCTTCATGTCCATGTGCACACAGGCATACAAGTTCCTACCTCTGCAGTTCGTGACACCAGAATAAACTGAAATAGCCCAGGGGCTTGGGTTTTGGCTTGGACTACTGTTTCACTGGGCCAATAATTCTCAAGCCTCACTACCCTGGCTAAAGCAGGACGTTCCCAGGTCTGACTTCCCTTAGGTTATCAACAAACTGGATTGGCTTATTCTAGAGGTGCTGTCCAAAAGAAACACAATGTGAGACACATGTCATTTTAAATGTTCTAGTAGCCGCATTTTAAAAAATATAAAAAGAGCCCTGGCCGGGTTTGGTTCTACTATGGGCGCGTGCCTCAGTTGCAGTTTGTCCCTGGCCCTGGTTGGTCGTGCGGGTGGCAGCCACTCGATGTGTCCCTTTCATGTCGATGTCTCTCTCTCTCCCTCTCTCTTCCTCTCACTCTATCTGAACAAAAAGTGGAAAAATGTCCTCGGGTGAGGATCAAAAAAAAAAAATTTAAAAATATAAAAAGCAGTTAAAATTAATTTTAGTAATATATTTTATTTAACCCAATATATCAAAATATTTTCATTTTGATGTGTAACCAATAAATTATGAATGAGAAATTTTACCTTCTATTTTCCATACTAAGTCTTCCAAATCCAATGTCTGTTTTACACAACTTATCTCAATGTGGACTGGCCACACTTTAAGTGTTCAATAGCCACATGGGGCTGGGAGCTGCCAAACTGGATAGCACAGTCCTAAATCTGGATCATGTTGCAAAATGAGTATTTTCAAAGGTATTATAGAAAAATATTAATTTATTAATAACAAGTACTGAGGAGGAAACCAAGGTTCAGCGAGGTAAAGTGTCTGGCCCAAGGCCTTAAGCTGTTCGGTGGCGGTGATTAAGAGCAGTCTGTGGTCAAATGAGAATTATCTCCTCACAGGGTGGATGTGAAGATGACAGGAGGTACCCATGGGAACTGACTGGCCCAGTTCCTGGCTTATATCCACTACCCACACACCCAGAAACGTTAGCTCCATCATCATGATGCTATTAACACTACCACCACGCAAGGAGAGGGGTCAATGGGAGAAGGCAGAGACCACTCTGGGTCACCAGCTGGGGAAACCCTGACCAGCTCTGAGACATTTTACCAAGACCACCCCCAGAACAGCCTGTACCACTCACCGGACTGGTGGGTGAGGAAACCATGAGGCTCAGTCCAGCTCTGTCATGCACCGAAGGCTTCTCCTGGCCACTCCCATGGCCAACTGCTCTCACAGGACTAGAGGGCTGCTGGTCTGAAGTGCTCCCCGAAGTGACAGCTTGGGCAGCGCCCAGATGCTGCAAGCCCAGGATGCCAGGTGCCTGGGAAAGTGCTTCCTGCTTGTGGCTACCACCTCGAGTCCCAGAGGCCGTGTGGGCAGAGAGGGGCTCTGCAGGCACATCAGCGTGCGGGTGTGTGCTAGTGTCCAGGCAGCGGCCGTGGAGGGGGGGCGTGGCCCGCAGTGTGGGAATCTCCGGTTCTCCACTCAGTCCATGGGCTGGCACACAGTTCACCTGGGCTTTGCTGAACTCCGACAACACCCTAGAAGTGTTTAAACAAAGAAATTTGTGTGACAAGCTGTCAGCTAGAATGCCAAAGGCTACTGGGGTAGTGGTAAGAATGGAAAACTGCTGTTCTGTGACTTAAGAAACAAACCACTCTTTTCATCATCCACTGCACTCCCTCGCTCACGCAGCCCTCCTCCTCTGACATTCCCCACCCACGCTTCTCCCGCGCTGGGACCAGACAGGGTGGGCAGGAGGGTTGTGGAGCCGGATCTCAGGTGAAACGCTCACAAAGCAGAGAAAAAGGACTTGATGTGGATGAACTGGTTGCCTTTACCTTCTGCACAGGCTAACTGTGGGCCTGGAGCGTTTGCTTGGCCAAACAAACGGCTGCATGGGCAATCGTTTTCCCAGCGGACTGCGGCACAGCCTGGCGAACAGAGCGTCTCAGCGCTGGGCTCCCCGACAGCACTGAGGCACCAAGACCCCACGCCCTGGGACATGCACTTAGCTAAAGTGAGGACCCACTTTGTTCCTGGAACAGCATCTGAGCAGCAGGGTTGCGGGAAGTGAAAGGGCTGGTCCACTTCAGAGCTGGACTGGCTGTGGAGTCAGAGAAGACTCCCATTCCCAGAAATTACTGCCGGGGATCAGTGTACACAGGGTGTGCAAGTGTGCATATAAGTATGCATGAGGTGTGCACCTGCTCACTCCTCCCAATGGAACTGGCTCTTCCTGCCCCTAAATGGTGCTTCTGGGGCCACAGGGAGCCAGTGTACACACACATGCACACACGCACACACAAGCACGCATCACAAAAACCTACTTCTGGGCCTTCTGGAATGTGCACTGACTAGTGGCTGCTCTGCCTTCCCTACCCTGAGGCTTCTGAGACTCTAAGTTCCTTTTCTAAAGTAAATCTATTTGCTGGCTCCTCTTCTGCTTATGAATCCAGTTGAGTCTGTCATGGACAAATGCAGGTTCAGATGACAAAAAAGCTGTCTGGAGCCCAAGAGATTGCACACATTTGTCCTAATGGCTTAGACTGGGTCCAGAGGACACATCAAACTCCCCTTCATGTGGGCTTACGGAAACTAAAATTTTAGAACTCCAGTTTTCACCTGATCGTGTTCTGGCTGAGCTCTGCTGTTATCTACACCATCTTAACCCCAAACAACATTGCAAGACCTTCTAGCCAAGAATAGGTAACCAACATTTATGGGCAAATGATTTTCAACACAGGTGCCAAGACATTTCAATGGGGACAGAATAGTCTTTTCAACAAATGATGCTGAGATAAATGAGTAGTTCCATGCAGAAGAATGCAGCTGGATCCCTATCTCACACCACGTTAAAAAATTAACTCAAGCCCTGGCCTGTTTGGCTCAGCGGTTAGAGCGTCGGCCTGCGGTCCAGAGAGACCCGGGTTCGGTTCCCGCTAAGGGCATGTACCTCGGTTGCAGTTTGTCCCCGGCCCTGGTTGGTCGTGTGGGTGGCAGCCACTCGATGTGTCCCTTTCACATCGATGTTTCTCTCTTTCTCTCTCCCTCCTGCTCTACCTGAACAAAGAATGAAAAAGTGTCCTCGGGTGAGGATAAAAAAAAAAAAAAAAAAAAATTAACTCAAATAGATCAAAGACCTAAAGGTAAGAGCAAAAACTATAAAACTCTTAGAAGAAAACAGGTGTAAGCCTTCATATCTTTGGGTCAGGCAATGGTTTCTTAGATATGGCATCGAATGCATAAACAGCCAATAAAAAAATAGATAAATTGGACTTCAATAAAATAAAAAACTACTCATGCTTCTAAAGGATACTACTAAGAAAGTAAAAAGACAACCCGTAGAATAGGAAAAATATTATCATATATCTGATAAGGGTCTAATATCCAGAGTATATAGCACTCTTTTTTTTTCAATCCTCATCTGAAGGTTTGTTTGTTTGTTTGTTTGTTTGTTTGTTTTTTTGGTACATGCCCCTAGCGGGAACCAAACCCAGGACTCTTTGGTCCACAGGCCGATGCTCCAACTGCTGAGCCAAACCGGCCAGGGCTGAAGGTATGTTTATTGATTGTTGTTGTTGTTGTTAATCCTCATTGGAGGATATTTTTTCCAGTGATTTTTAGAGAGAGTAGAAGGGAGGGATGGGAGTAGGGAGAGAGAGAGAGAGAGAGAGAGAGAGAGAGAGAAACATTGATGTGAGAAAGAAACATCAATTAGTTGCCTCCCATACATGCCCTGACCAGGGATCGAATCTACAACCTAGGTATACACCCTGACTGGGAATCAATCCCACAACCTTTTGGTGTACGGGACAATACTCCAACCAACTCAGCCACCTGGCCAGGGCTATATAGCACTCTTACAACAAATAACCTAATTTAAAAATAGGCAAAGGCCCAGTTAGTGTGGCTCAGTGGTTGAGCATCGATCCATGCACCAAGAGGTCGCCAGTTTGATTCCCTGTCAGGGCACATGCCCAGGTTGTGGGCCAAATCCCCGGTGGGAGGTGGCCTACTGATGTTCTCTCTCATTGATGTTTCTATCTCTTCTATCTCTCTCTCTCCCTCTCCTTTCCTCTCTTTGTAAAATCAATAAAGAAAAAAAAGTTTAAATACAAATAAAAATAGGCAAAGGGTATGAATAGACATTACTCCAAAAAAGATATCCAAATGGCCAATATATACATACAGAGATACTCGGTATCATTACAGAGTAGTGAAGTACAAATCAAAACAACAACAAGAGCTACTTTCCGTTCACTAGGATGGCTATAATAATAAAAAAAACAATGACAGAAAATAAGAAGTGTTGGCCAAGACGCAGAGAAGCTGGGACACTCATACACTGCTGGTAGAGATATAAATGGTGTAGCCTCTGGGAAAAACAGTTTAATAATTCCTCAAAAAGTTAAACATAGAGTTATCATATGGCTCAGGAATTCTACTCGTGGATATATCTCCAAGAGAAATAAAAACATATGTTCCAAAAACATGTACATGAATGTTCTTAGAAACATTATTCATAATAGCCAAAAAGTGGGACAACCCACTGTCCATTAACTGATAAATAGATAAAAGAACTGTGGTATACCCATAGAACAGAACATCATTCAGTCACAATACATGCTACAACATGGAGGAACCTTGAAAATATACTATGTGAAAGAAGCGAAAGAAGCCGGTCACAAAAGGCCATGTATTATATGATTTCCCTAACATGGCATGTCCAAAATAGGTAAATCCGTAGCTAATGGGTAAGGGATTTCCTAACAGGGTGATGGAAGTGTTCTTGAACTAGATAGTAGCAATGTTGCACAACCTTGTGAATATACTAAAAACTACTGAAGTGTATACTTTATTTTTATTTTTAAAAATTATTGCCCTGGCCGGTTTGGCTCAGCGGTTAGAGTGTTGGCCTGCGGTCCAGAGAGACCCGGGTTCGGTTCCCGCTAAGGGCATGTACCTCGGTTGCAGTTTGTCCCCGGCCCTGGATGGGTCGTGCGGGTGGCAACCACTCGATGTGTCCCTTTCACGTCAATGTTTCTCTCTCTCTCTACCTCTCTCTCCTTCCTACTCTGTCTGAACAAAAAATGGAAAAATGTCCTCTGGTGAGCACAAAAAAAAAAATTATTTAATTTATTGATTGATTGATTTGAAAGAGGCAGAGAGAGGAACAATGATTTGTTGTTCCACTTAGTTATGCATTCATTGATTGATTCTTGAATGTGCCCTGACGGGGGGTCAAACCTGCAACCTTGGCACATCAGGATGATGCTCTAACCAGCTGCTACCCAGACAGGGTGTACATTTTACAATGGAAAATTTTATGGTATATGAATTATATCTCATTAAACAAAAAGATGACTTATCAGAGAGAGATGTAACTGTGTTTGTGGAATAGTTGTGGGGGAGGAGGGGGCGCTGGTTCCTGCTCCATGGCTTCACTCAGAAACAGACACATGCAGGAGGCGGCCAAGCAATGTTCTCTCTCATCGATGTTTCTATCTCTCCCTCTCCCTTCCTCTCTTTCTAAAATCAATAAAGAAAAAATAATGTTAAAAAAAGTTAAAAGAAACAAATACAAATCCAGAAGTGCAACTTGCAGGGAACAGGGACTGATGAGTTCTGGAAGCAAAGGGCTAGTTTCCACAAGCAGAGGAGGAAGGGACATCTGCTGACCTGTAGTATGTGTCCAAACTACTGTGATGGAATGGGCCACATTCTGAAATGAACTAGGGAGACAGAGTTTTGACAAATGTCCCATCAGGTCCCAGCTCCTCATGGGCTCCTGGGAGGTGCTCTAGCGACTGATTAAAAGCAGGGATCCAGAGTCCTCCTGGCCTTGGCTAGCACATTACTAAGTGCTCCCCAACAAGTACCTAAAGTCCATAGATTTAATTCCCTTATCTGTAAAACAGGCATGGTAACAGCACCCACTTTTATGAGTGACAAAAATTAAATAAGATAATATACACAAAATGCTTAGTAGAGTGTTTTGCACAAGTTAAATACTCAATAAATGTTAACCTCAATTTGTTATTGTTGCTGTTTTGATTATTATTATTATTACTTTTTGGTATGTGCCCCTAGCGGGGACCGAACCCGGGACTCTCTGGTCCGCAGGCCGACGCTCCAACCGCTGAGCCAAACTGGCCAGGGCATTGATTGTTATTGATAACATTGCTTAGACTTCAGGTAAACAAATATAAAATTGTAAGGAAAGGAGTAGAATTATGGAAATACTCACTAGTATTACCAAAATGGTTATCAGTTATAAATGAATCCTAATCTATAAGAAAGATTCATGTGACAGAGTAGACTGGGTGTTAGAATCAGTGACTTAATGCCTAAAGAAATGCCACCACCCTGGCTGGTTTGGCTCAGAGGCTGGAGCGTCGGCTTGCAGACTGATGTTGCGGGTGCATGTACTTGGTTGCGGTCCGTCCCCGGCCCTGGTTGGGTAGTGGGAGAGGCAACCAGTCAATTGGCTCTATCACATCGATGCTTCTTCCCCCGCTCCAATTCTATCTAGTGATAAATGGAAAAATATCCTCGGGTGAGGAATAAAAAAAAGAAAAGAAAAGAAATGCCACCAAAAATGCCTGTGTGATAAATCAGAGCTTCTGCCAAATCAAAACCAAGGTGAAGGTGAAATCAAGTTCACAGAGCTCCACCAGAATCAGTTCTGGCCTTCAGAACCCAATGAGAATAAGAGACAGGCAGGCATCTCAATTGGAAAAAGTGCTAGAATGAAATTATGAAGAAAAGGCAAAAGAAAGAAAAGTTTGAAAACATTTGAAGAAAATACAACATAGAAATGAAACAGCTCTGTCCAGGTAGCTCAGCTGCTTAGAGCATTATCCCATTACACCATGGTTGCAGGTTCAGTCCCCTCAGAGCACATAGAAGAATCCACAAATGAATGCATAAATAAGTGGAACAACAAAATCAATGTTTCTCTTTCTCTCTCTCAAAAAAAAAAAAAGAAGTGAAACTGCTGGTCTTTCCACTTCTGTCTGACTCAGGGCAGTGGTTTTCAAAAACATTCTGTTCAAAAAATTTACTTGTGCTTTCACTTAGAAAACAATCTTAAAAAGTGTATGTATTATATGCATCTGTATCTATGCATGTACACGTGAAATAAGTAAAAAGTGGGATCTGAGGACTCTGGGTGGCTACCTTGTAAAGAACCCCAGCCAAGTGGTTCTGAGCCTGTGGTTTCTGAACACGTGGACTATCTGCTGTGTTGGTGGTACATGGCAGTCAAGAGCCACCGATGAATGCACAGAGGTGGGCTGCATGTGCTAAGAATCAATTCCCCCAAGGAAATGATGACATCTGATAAATATTGCTAACCAGCTTTGTGCAGCAGTGCTTCAGAGATAAGGAGCAGAAGTGCGGTCATCGGTCATCGTCATCGTCATCGTCATCGGTGCTCAGGAGTACTCAGCAGTAAATGACAATAACACCACCTGCTGGGCGCTCACCATGTGTCAGCCACTGCTCTAAGCACTCTCTTAACTCACTTCATTAAGATAATTAATCTTAATTATCTTCAGGCCTTTGAAACATTCTTTATCGCCATTTTACAGATGAGAACATCAAAGTCAGAAAGATTGAGTAACTTTCCACAAGGTCATAAAGCGGGTTAAGCCCAGTAGGTGTGATTCAGCGGTTTGATTCCCTGTCAGGGCACAAGCCCAGGCTGTGGGCCCGATCGCCAGTGGGGGGCATGCAGGAGGCGGCCAATTGATGTTCTCTCTCATCCATGTTTTTAATTCTCTCTCCCTTTCTCTTCCTCTCTCTCTAAAATCAATAAAGAAAAAACAAACAAACAAACAAAAAACATACGCTCCAAGAAATGCTGGTCTCTGTGGATGCTCAAAGACTAACTTCCAGTCCAGCTCTAAGAAGGCTGCATGTGCATGCATCTGTGTGTTTAGTGTTTAGTGTTAGCTGGTTCCTCATATCACTGTCCAGTGTTGGTCTGTACACCCTGACCCTCTCCCCTTTAGTTCCCCATAATAACCACAAAGGGTGGATGGTCACTGGCTCAATGACCTTAAGCTGGAATTTTCCAATCATAAGACTCATGAAAGATAAAGGCAAGACACATGACAAAGAGAAGGCTGGCTGGTCTGTGGGAGGAAGGAGAGGCAACTAAGGACTGAGACATGGGAATGAGCCTAAGTCATGCCACAGGTGCAGCCACGCTGGGGCAGGGCCCGCTCAGAAGCTATTCTGGTGCCTACCAGGTGTTTTTGTGTGTGCAACTCGTTAACAGGCATCTGATTTAATCCTCAAACAGCTCTATGAGGGGATCTCCATTTTAAAGATAAAAAATAGAACCTCAAATAGAGCCAGCAATTTGTCTGACATTACTGGACTTGTAAGTGGTAGAAGAGGGCTTGAAACTAGGTCTGCTCCAAGCCAGTCCACAGCACCACCCCAAACTGGTATTATTCCCACACCAGTCTTTACAGGTGGGAGCCCTGTAATGACCTGACCCAAAAGTGGGAGGTGGTAGAGACCAGCAGGAGTGAAAAGAAGGTCCTAACACTGGCTAATGGAACATGGATCCAACTGAAGGTAATGCTTAACAAAAAGTTAGCATTTTTTTTTTTAACCTATTAGATGAGCAAACACCCAAAAGTTTGATAATACTTGCTGCTGACAAGGCTGAGGGGACACAGATACATTCCTGATGGAATGTAAATAGGCAATATCTGTGAAAATTACAGATTATTCCATCCTTTGGCTCAGCAATTTTGCCTCTGGGAACTGACTGAATAGAGATAACTGCACAGAACTAAAAGACCACACACGCAAGGATACGTATAAAACGCTGAACTCTGATGTCCATTACATATAGGGCTGATTAAAGAAACTAAGGTATGTTCATACAATGAAAAAATATGCCACGGGGGGGAAAAGAAAAGAAACTGATATGAGAAGATCTCCTCCAAAATAAGGTGCAGAATACTGTGTTTATACTAGCTTTCGTGGAAAGAGGTGGGAGAACAAGAAATAAAATTTTAAAATCTACGTATGCATATTTTTTATACTAGATGTATTTAGAAACATTGAAAGAATATGCAAGAAAATCATTATGGTTATAGGGGCGGGAAGCACTTTTTACTGTATGCATGTTACTTTTTTTTTTTTTACACCATAAAAATAGATTATCTATTCAAAAATTAGTGTTAAAAAGCCTGACTGAAAAAGGCTCTGCCCAGGCTCCCTCTCCGGGCAATGCAGCCGCGCCATGTGCTCCTCCTCCACACCTGGGCTTGGCCCCTCTGCCTACCACCTCCAGGCTCCCTTCAGGCTTGTGTCCTCTAGGAGGTCTTCTGTGAGGTCACCGGTCACCTTACACATCATGCTTTGTTGTGTTTTTTGGAAGATGTAACTATAGCTTTGAACTATTAGTGTCCTTCTAAAGATGACAAACATATTTCACACTGAGTCCCAGAGAGATTAAGCAACTTGTCAAAAGTCGCCCAGGACAGAGCTGGAGCTTGAACCAGCTCTGAGCCCTGTCTAGATCCTTTCTCCCCACCGCCCACATGCTGCCTCCAGTTACAGCAACTTCAGTCCTGAGGAAGAGAGACGCCGTTCCCTTTGCCTTTCCTTACGCCCTGAAAGTTCAGTGCTGTGACAGGCAATCACACGCTAAAGGGAGGGAGGGAAGGAGGGGGGAAGAGAAGAAGAGGGGAGAAGGAAGGAGAGAGAAGGAAGGAGTGGAGGAGTGGTACTCACTCCTGCAGAGACGGGTCTGAATCATCAGCATTTGCTGTCCCCAGGTCTGAGTCGTATGACATGGGCTCCTCAGAATGATCGGGACTCTTGGAGCCGTTCTCCGGGAGCAGGAGGCTATCCGAGTTTAGGCTGCAGGACAGCTGGGAAGAGCTGGCCGTGTCCAGGCTGAGGGAGGAGGCGGTCAGCTGCCTGTTCCGTTGGATCTTATGGCCCGAGTGCTGGACTTCGATGTCCTCGGAGCCTGAGGAATGGGAAATGGAATCCAGCGACTCCTTGCGCTGTAGTTCTGTCCCAGAGGTAGTGGCAGGGTCGAGCTCAGAGAGGGGGCAAAGCCCAGAGAGGGCCAGCGGGGTGAGCGTCCACTCGTTTAAGATGGAGGACTTGTAGGAGAGTTCGAAGGACAGGGAGGTGAGTCCCTGCAGGAAGCTGAGGAGGAACTCGCTCTCCTCGGCGTCCCGGAGCAGGGCGGTGGGCTGGTAGAACTCGCACAGGCGGGCCTGCTCCTGCAGGAGCAGCTTCAGGTAGCACTCCATCAGGCCGTCGTTGAGGGCCAGCCGCAGCCAGGCCCTGCAGCGGCCCACGTCCGTGCTCACGAAGACCAGGTGCTCCAAGTCCGAGATGATGTGTCTGGCAAAGGGGAGAACAGAATTAGTTCAAGAGATGACTTTGAATCACTGAGATGTTATTTCATACACCGGTTGGGGCAAGAGCCAATAATAATGACTGCAAGAACAATATAGGCATGAACAATTAATAGTGTTTTAAGGGGAACTGAGAAATAGTAAGCAATAACCCCCAACTTTTTGAGGTTGGTGTCATGAAGGATAATTGCCATTTTCATTCCAACTACCTCTTGGGTCCCTGATACCATCTGCTGGCATCCAGGACATGTTTGCTGTGCTATTCCATGCAAGGTCCTTGGAACTGTGAAGACACAGGGTAAAGAATTGGTCCCTGCGCTCTATCTAGGTAACGCCTTTTAAGGGCACACCAGTTGTCAGTAGAGCTGGGGTGGGGACGGGGCGATCATTTCCGGGTTGGAGTGAAATAAATGCCATAGAAAGGGCAGTTTCTGAGCTGGCCTTGTGGGATTTCAAGAGGCGAAGCTAGAAGGAGCGCCTCCGAGGCACACGGAACTAACAGGGAAAAGGCACAGAGCTGGAAAGCAACAGACCTGTAACAGGAGTGGGGAGCACTCCAATTACAACGCGGGGAGGAGGAGCTGATTGGCGGCACAGCCAGGTGATGCAGGGTTTTGAGGATCCAACTGGTGAGGCCGTGGGGCAATGGTCCCCACACCTGGTTGTGCCCCAGAATCACATGGGGAACTTGGTCAGGATACAGATTCTGGGGCTCCAACCGAATGAATCATACTCCAGGCTAGCATATGGGAGCCTGGGGGCTATAGGTTTTTGCACAAGAAAACGAATTGATCTCCTCTATGCAGACTTCAGGATGGGTTGCTCTGGATAAGGTCAGACCGCAGGTGTTTGAAACTGAGTCCCTGGATGCCTTGATCTGATTAAATGCCCCTTCTGTGACTACCACTGTCCCCTGCATGGGCGGGCAGACCAAGCTCTGTAGGACTCAGTGATTGACCCTGGTTAGCTTAAGCTCACTGAATGTTAAGAAAAGACAGAATGAGTTAAAGGGGACAATTAGAAAGCCATTGTCACCCAGGAGGGAGGTAAGAACCTGAGATAGGGCAGTGACAGTAGGCATGTAAAGGAAGATGAGAGACTGACAAGGCACCTTTCGGCTGAAGGTGGCATCTAATAGCCCTTAGAGGCACAGTGCCAGCTACCTGTTCCGAAGTCCAGGCAGGAGGGGCAGGGCCACAAAGACAAGTGTCTCAGGGCAAATATTCAGATGCTCCACCTGGATTCCACTCTTTTACAACCCCCACCCCATACCTTGTTATGAGTATAATACTCAGCACACAGATGTCCAAACATTCTAAGGACGGGTCGGCAAAATTCCCCCATAAAGGTTCAGGTGGTCAAGATTTTAGGCTTTGCAGGCCACACAACCTCTGACAACTACCAAACTCTGCCAGGGTGTGGCTCAGAGACGGCACTCGCAAAGGTGACCACCAGGGGCTCAAAGCAGCCCCAGGCTCTTTACCTGAGGAAGGAGGGGCTAAGGAGGCTTGGTCTAACGATAACCCCTACCTCAGCCATCCCTGTTCTAGAACATAGAGCACCTGTTGCTTTCCCACACAGCTGGAGATGAAGAGCCCTGTGTCCCATATTCCAAAGCTCCTTCCCAAAGCAAAACCTCCCCAGCTGATCTCACTTGTGGGTGACAGCCTTCAGGAGGGGCCAGAACACAGGCTGAGGCAGAGGCTTCTGGTAGGCACTCTTCTTCCTTTTGCCCCCGGCTTCGGCTCGGATGTGCTTGGCATGCAGGCCGTGGATAAACACAGCCTCCAGGGCACTGCACATGGCGTTGGCATCTCCGTCTTCGCTAGTGATCACTGTGTCCGAGGATGCATACTGCTTCTGCAATGCCTTCATGGATCCCACTAGCTTCTTCTTGATGACCTAGGCAGAGCCAGATGTAACACAGGCCTTTAGAAGATCCTATGGCGACCCTAGGAATGTAACTCTGTCTGTTGAAAAATATATGCACAACAACACATGCACACACCTGTATGTATGTATCTGTACTTGCCTTCTGCAAAACTAGCACGTGCTAATTATAGAAAAGATAAAGCAGCCCAACCAATGTGGTTCAGTGGTTGAGTATCGACCTATGCACGAATCACTGGTCATGCCCAGGTTGTGGGCCTGATGCCCAGTGGGGGCATGCAGGAGGTGGCCAATTGATGTTCTCTCTCATCTAGGTTTCTATCTCTCGCTCTCTCTCCCTTCCTCTCTGTCTCTAAAAGTCAATGAAGAAACAAAAAATGTTTCTAAAGAAAAGATAAAGCATACAGAAGAAAAGGAAAATCAAAAACACCATCCAGAGATACCATTATTATTTTTATGCAAAGATATTTGTGTATCTCTTTTGTTTTTTAAACCAAGTGTCAGTAAACTGATAGCCATACAAATCTTATGCTTAAATATTGGCTCCATCATAGTTATAGTGATGGGACTTGGGTAAATCCATCTAGGACAGAGGCTTTCCATGTGACCAAGATTCCGCACAGAATCAAGAAGCTAAGAGGCAAAAACTGTTGCTTTAGAATAATAAAAAGACCAAGAAAACAGGAGCATGGTCTACATTCAGAAAGACACTAACTTGGCAGCTGAGGTTTAGTCTCAGCTCTGTCAGTCACCAGCTGGGTCACCTCAGACATTTCACCTAACCTCTCTGAGGCTCAATTTCCTCACCTGTGAAATGGGAATAATACGTCCTGATCTATAGCATGGAAGGTGGGGGAATTCCTCTTTGAGGGCAGGACTATGTTTTTATTCAACCTTGTGTCCTTAATAAATGTCTGTTAAATGAATAAATTACACAATATACAAGTCTTCTCACCCTGGCCAGTGTGCTCAATGGTTAGAGTGTCAGCCTGAACACCAAAGGGCCAGGTGGTAAAGATTTTAGGTTTTGCAGGCCACACAACCTCTGACAACTATGAAACTCTGCTAGGGTGTGGCACCAAGATGGCACCTGCGAAGGTGACCACCAGGGGCTTGAAGCGGCCCCAGGCTCTTACTTGAGAAGGAGGGGCTGATGAGGCTTGGTCTGAAGATAACCCCTACCTCAGCCATCTCTGTTCTAGAGGGTCATAGGTTTGATTCCTAGGTTGCAGGTTCAAACCCTGGCCCTAGTCGGGGCACATGCAGGAGGCAACCAATCGATGTCTCTCTCACATCAATGTTTCTTTCTCTCTCTCTCCCACACTCCCTCCCTCCCTTCCACTTTAAAAATCAATGGAAAAAATATCCTTAGGTAAGGATTAACAAAACAACAACAACAACAAAAATCCCAAAAAACAAAATATATAAGTCCTCTGGAAATATAGAGTAAAGAGAGTTCTGTCAAAATATAAGTATGTCAAAATTACCTAAGTGTTTGGAAAAGAACTGGGATGGCAAAACAAAACAAAACAAAAAAACTGGCTTGAATTGTTAGGTGACAGGATTCTGTATAAATATTTTATTGTTTTGTTTTTATTTTAGACCAAACAGCTAAGGTTCTTTGAAGAGTTAAATGTTCCTTTTTTATAACAACTTTTATGAGAAATAATTTACATAGCATAAAATTCTCTTGTTTAAAGTATACAGTTCAATGGTTTTTAGTATATTCATAGAATTGTGCAACCGTGGCCACTATCTAATTTTAGAACACGTTCACTGCCCTAACAAGAAATACTGGGCCCATTAGCAGCAACTCCCTATTCCCTTCCCCCCAGACCCTGACAACCACTAATCTACTTTCTGTTTCTATGGGTTTGGCTATTCTGGACATTTCATACAAATGGAATCATACAATAGGCAGACTTCAGTGTCTGGTTTCTTTCATTTCAGCATGTTTTCCTCTATGTAGCAGCATCTTCATGCATCAGTACTTCATTCTTTTTAATGTTTTTTTTTCTTTATTGATTTTTTTTTTTTAGAGAGAGAGGAAGGGAGAGATGGAAACATTGATGGAAGAGAACATCAATTGGCTACCTCCTGCATGCTCCCCACTGGGGATTTGGCCCACAGCCTGGGCATATGCCCTGCTTGGGAATCGACCAGTGACTCTTGGTACATGGGTTGACACTCAACCACTGTGCCACACCAACTGGGAAATACTTCATTCCTTTTTTAAAATTTTTATCCTCACCCAGGGACATTTTTGCATTTATCTTCAGATAGAGAAGGAGGGAGAGAGGGAGGAAGAGAGAGAGAGAAACATTGATGTGAGAGAGACACATCGAGTGATCGCCACCAACACGACCCCACCAGGGCCAGGGACAAACTGCAACCAAGGTATGTGCCCCTAGCAGGAACCAAACCCAGGACTCTCTGGTCCGTAGGCCAACACTCTACTGAGCCAAACCAGCCATGGCTACTTCATTCCTTTTAATGCCAAATAATATTCCACTGCACGAATATACCACATTTTATTTATCCAATTATAAATTAATAGACATTTGGGTCCTGGCCAGTTTTGCTCAGTGGTTAGAGCATCGGCCTGCGGTCCAGAGAGACCCGGGTTCAGTTCCCGCTAAGGCAGCATACCTCAGTTGCAGTTGGTCCCCGGCCCTGGTTGGTCATGCGGGTGGCATCAACTCATGTTGATGTTTCTCTCTCTCTCTCTCTTCCTCCCACTCTATCTGAACAAAAAAATGGAAAAATGTCCTCAGGTGAGGATAAAAAAAAAATGAATAGACATTTGGGTTGTTCCCACCTTTTGGTTATAATGCTGCTATGAATATTCACGCACAAGTTTTTGTGTAGACACATGCCATATATTTTTAATTCTCATGGGTATGTACCCAGGAGTGGAATTGCTGGGCTGTATGGAACACTGTTTAACTTCTGAGGAACTATCAAACTGTTTCCCACAATGGCCGCACCATTTTCCATTCCCACCAGCAATGCACGAGGGTTCCAATTTCTCCATGACCACACTGCACTTACTATTGCCTGCCATTCTGGGTATAGCCATCATAGGGGGTGTGAAGAACTATCTCATTATGGTTTCGATTTACATTTATTTAATGTCTTAATAATGGTGAGCACCTTTTCATGAACTTACTGGTCACTTGCACATCTTCCTTGGAGAAATCCATAGTCTTCAGGTAACCTATATTAAATCCCAACTTTTTTTTTTTTGGTAAATTCTCAATTTATCACCAATAACATGATCTAGAAAGGGCAGGACCTCCTCAGAGCTTGCTTCTGCTATAAGTTTTGCTCAGCCTGAGGCCTCTCTTTCCAGACAGTGCCCATACATTCCAAAGTGGGAAAAACCAATGAAATGGCTGTCCTGTGCACCCCTTCCCCACCCTTGATCCTCCCCTGCCACCTACCGGGATGGCAGCCCGGGGGTCCAGTCCATTCTCCACCACTGAGAGCATTTCCACTCAGGCAGCAGCTCGCGAAGAGAACCACATGACACCTGCTGAGACAGGTGGCGGCCAGGTAAGCAAGACCCCAACTCACCAGCCCTACCAATCCCCACACCCCGGAGCAGGCAGCAGGTCAGCCCATTTCACTCAAACTGTAAGCAAAAGAAAGGCCTTTGAGTATGAAAGTAAAAATGAGAGTGGGTTTTAAGAGAAGCAACAAGGAAGGAAAAATGTCTGAGGTCCGGATCTCGGAAGGAGCCCTGTGTGCCAGGGGTGGGCCCGCCCCAAGGAGTGAATGGAAAGGGCTCTTTGCTCCACACCAAATGCTGGCACAGAAAGCAGGGCATGACAGGCTGATGAGTTAGATGCAGAGCTGAGGGTGCTGCAGCTGAAGGTGCAAAGATCTCGCAGGGACCAGGACCAGGCCTCCCAAGTCACATTCAGGGCCAGGTCTTGCGGTTGCCCCTGACTCCTGTCTCCATCTAGTGTCTGCCGCACAGCGGTGAACAGTACATGTGAAACAGCTTCAAAGGGAGATTCTCACACATCTGCTTCTCTGTTGGGCTGGCCTGAGTAGCACAGGAACATGTGTAAAGGGGAACAACGTGGATTCTGTGGACGGAAAGGGGCCACATGCTAGCCCGACAAGTTCAGGAGAGGCTTGGCGACCCTGCGAACTCAGAGACCTAAAGTAACCACAAAGGATGGTCTGAAATTTAAACTTTTTACACCAAAAGCAGTTTAAGGAAGGTAGTCATGTCCTAGGCTAGAATCTTCCCTGACAAAAGTCAGTCTTTATCTGAACTGAGCCTGTGTACTGTCTTTTCATCTGCAATAACATACCTTAGAAGGACAGGGTGACGTCCCCTTTCCAGACCCCTCAGGGACACTCAATGCACCGGAGCAGAGAGTACAAATCCTCACACTGGCCAGGGCTGGGAGGGCTCTTTTATTACCTCAATCTGACAGATGAAAAACAGACGTGGCCCTGGCTGGTGTGGCTCAGCCCGTGTACCAAAGTGTCATGGGTTCAATTCCCCTTCAAGGCTCGTACCTGGGTTGCAGGTTTGATCCCTGGCTCCAGATGGGGTGTGTGCAGGAGGCAACCGACGTCTCTGTCTCTCTCTCTCCCCCCTCCTTCCTTCTACTCTGTCTAAAAAAATCAATAGAGCTCAGCGGTTGGAGTGTTGGCCTGTGGTCCAGAGAGACCCGGGTTCGGTTCCCACTGGGGGCGCGTGCCTTGGTTGCAGTTTGTCCCCGGCCCTGGTTGGGTCATGTGGGTGGCAGCCACTCGATGTGTCCCTTTCACATCGATGTTTCTCTCTCTCTCTCTCCCTCCCACTCTATCTGAACAAAATATCAAAAGGTGTCCTCGGGTGAGGATAAAAAATAAAAAAAATCAATGGAAAAAATATCTTCGGGTGAGGATTAACAACAACAACAACAAAACAAACAAAAAAAGGAACAGAAGCTGACCTAGGTCAAGGAACTTCCCGAGATCCCAGAGCTGATATGGTCAACTCCCGGACCCTTGGCCAGGACAAAGCCAACCCCAGCTCAAGAGAAATGCCAGACTCCTGAATGAGTACAATCTTCTCCCTTCTGGAAGAGGTGAGTATGAGCTAAGGCTAAGTGGTGGGGGGAAAGGGGCTGGCGGAAAAAGGGGGCCTGGAGGAGGGAGGGCCCTTCAGTTGGGGGCCCCAGTGGAAAAGGCTCTGCTTCAATCCCTGGCCTCTGGAGTTGGCAGAGGGCAAACATGCCCCAGAGCCAACCTCCCTAAGTCGGGACATGCAGAGGGAGGGAGGTGCATGGAGGATGGCCCCTGGGGAGCCAGCTGTAGTCAGGGCGCGACAGACCCCCGGAAAGAACACGGGGCCCTGGCTGCAGCCCCAGTGTCACTGCCTCACCCTTCAGCCACGTTCCAGCTCACACCTCCCCAGGATCCTCAGGGCCCTCCCTGGAGACCAGCTCTGTACTCTGGCCACCAGGGTGACAGGGAACAGGATATGTGCTGCAGTCAGAGTCCTTTTGAAAAGGACTGATTCTGGAAGCTGAGTTCCTTCTGGGTTACCTTGCACAGCCCAGCAGGCCAAGTCCAGCTCTCCTGCTCCAAGACCCTGAGCTATAACCCCTTTCAGCAATTCCAGTGGCCCAAGGCCTTCCCTCTAGCTGCCCTTCTACACAAAGCCTCAAGCTCCCAAACTGCCCTTCCTTCAGTCAGCCACAGGCCAGGCCTTTCAAGGCTTAAATCTCAACAATTTGAATCATAGCCTGGGCCCATTAAGGCCTCATTTGCTAATTAACTGAAAATAATAGAGTACTCATAGGAGGGAGGGAAGCTTATCAATAAGTGGGTGCTCTGGCCAAGTAAGGGTCTACCAAACCAAAGTAGCCCTGGTTGGGTAGTTCAGTTGGTTAGAGCATCGTCCCAATATGCCAAGGTTGTGGGTTTGATCCCTAGTCAGGGCACATTCAAGAGTCAACCAATGAATGCATAAATAAATGGAACAACAAATCAACATTTCTCTCTTTCTCTCCCTTCCTCTCCCTCTCTAAAAATCAATCAATCAAAACAACAAAAACCCAACGTAAACTAATGCTGAGAGGTCAGACCAGAGTCAGATAGGAGACAAGAAACTGTCACCTACAACAAAGTATCAGAAAAGCCACAAAATGACAACAGCATGGAGGAATCCAGGAGAAAAGCCACTGGACAATTCACAAAATAGTACTGGAACTCTGGGGTTTGGGGCACAATTCAGGGCACACCTTTCATAGTAGGAAGGTAAACAACCCTACCTATGGTGTGCGTTCCATAATGCCTCACAGAGACAGGAATCAGACAACCTATGACTTGAGAACTTGCTGGTGGAACAAGAACTGGGCTTTGGGTCTCTTAACTGCTGAGTCAGTGCTGCATCATCCTCCCCGTGGTCTGGGCCCCAGTCTACCATCCTCTGTGGCTGGTTTCACTCCCTGTCCTCAGAGCACTCTTTACTGACACCAAGAACCAAACCAAAGAGAGGTGTGGCTTCAAGGAGACCTAGGTTGAAGGGAGTGAGGACAGAACTTGAACAACACTACCAAAGGGCTCTTCAAACTGCACCAGTGGAGTTTAGCAGAAAAGGTGACTTTTTGCCTTTTAGGAAATTCCAAACCCTGCTAAGTCTACCTCTTTCCCTAAATACTGATTCACCCTGACACGTCTTCAAACTCCTCTAATCTCATTTAACTCCTACAACAGTCCTGGGAGAGGAAGATTTTACAGAGAAGACTGGGGCTCATTACAAAAAGGCCCCAGGTAGGAAACAGATTCTCTGATGTCCTCATTCCCCGTCCTGTACCTTTCACCAGACCAAACTGCCTCAGGTCTTTGCTTCAAAGGTTTCAGGCAAACTTATTATTTACAGAACTTTAAGAGGCACTCAGAAACTCCACTTATCAAATAAGGCTTAAAATCAACAAGTAATAATCTGGCCAAAAAGATCTGTAACCCCAACCAGCTTGAGGCCTGGTCCTGTCCATGGTACCCATGTTCCAGAGCTGTGCTTTCCTAAATGTTTTAATACACAGGAAGGAACAGTTCTGTTTTTTTTTTAAATTATTATTATTACACTGCCTGGCCCTCTAAACATGTCCAATTTCACTTCCTCCAGAAACCAAGGAAGAAAGAAAAGAGAAAAATGGCTTACACGAGACTTACATTAAAAGAAGAAATGGATGACCCGGGTTCGCCACTTTTAAAACACTCCATCCATCAGTAAATAGTAACCTCCTGTCCTTAGAGACTTCTCAGCCATTCCCAACAGCCTCCACTCTACAGCCTGAATCTAATCCTGTACCTGTCTGTTCAGAACAACAGCCTGATGTTTAAACCATCCAGCTACTACTGTACCAGTTGATGAGTCATGGTTCTCAGTTGGAAAAGAATGACAAAGTCATCTTCTGATTCAGGAAGGCAGCTGATCTTTTAGCCATGTGAGTGATGAATGAGTACACATCACTTCCTTGTACCTGAAGAAAACTGGATTTCTGGTCCGGTGTCCTATGGCCAGTGTGCTGGGGGAACTAGGATTTGAAGCAATTGGATATCAGCTGGAGGGTGAGAAATTTCTAGCTTGGGATTCCTAGACCAAGGGCTAGTGGGTGAGGCTAGAAATAGGAAATCGGTTAACACTGGCTATCTTTTTTCCTCCCTCTTTCTTCCCATCCAATAGCAACCATCTTCCTCCATATTCTTGTCTATTATCCCTTAGTATTCTAGCAAGGGCCAAACTCTGAACGAATCATACAGGTACCTTGCTTGGTTCATTCACCATTGCATTTCTAGTGCCTAGGACAGTGTAAGGCACACAGTGGTGCTCAAAAAATACTTGCTGAATGAACTGATGAATAAAATAAAAATAAGGCTCAGGGCAGGTATCTCCATTTCATAGGCTGCAGAAAGTTGAAGTATACAACTTCAGAGATGGGAATTCCTTCCATTAGACCAAGCTGTCAACAGGCGGAAAACCAATCTGATCTATTACACCTTAATGGGGAGATATCAGAGGTAGAAGGGCATTCAGTTTTCAAAGGAACAAGACTATAAATGGTAAGTAAACACAATGGTTCTGTTTGGGGCCCTTTAAAATTGCTGTCAATTGGCCAACCCTCTGAAACCAGGTCACCAGAATTTGGAGGGAACATGCACTCAAAGAGCCCAGATTACTAAATGCTGAGCATGGGGCCTGGGTGCCTTAAAAATGTTCCTCTGCCTCAGCTACTCTGAGATAACTCAGCTCCCTGTGTTCAAAGGTAACCAAGGTGACGAAAAGTCAATGATGCAGTCCCTGCAAAAAGAGGAAGCGATTCAACAGCCTCCACACACACCTAGGTCTTAGCCTCCCCAGGACCAACTCACCTACACTCTTTACAACATGTAACATCACCTCTGGCACCCATAGTGCTCCCTGTGTTCAGTGTGGGAACTGATCTGGCATGGAGGAGCACTCTGGGAGGGTCCTTTCCAAGTGCTAGGACAACACACAAGGACATGGTTTGGTAACTAAAGCCAATCCCACACAGTGGTACTTCTTGAGTTTCTTCCAGGCCAGAACACCAGCCAAAAGGAAGTGATGGCTTCTGTTGCCCCAGACTGAGTAGGCTGGATGAGTGGCCATTCCTCACCTACCAGGCAATTTGGAAGATACCTACCATTCCAGCAGCCAGAACAAGTAATTTAATATGAATGCTAGAATCATAATCCCTGGGGACAGACACAGGGGATCAGACACCCAGGGAAAGCCCCTGACCCAAGTGGGTAACTCTACTTCTTCACAATTAATTATCATCTGAGGCCCTACACATGCCAATCAAGCTGTTCAGTCTCTAACTGCCTGGTTCTGAGCAAGCACCTAGATTTGGCTATTGAGGGGCAGCTGGGGTGGCAGGATGCTCTAAACTAAAATCTTAGATTGAATGAGGACTGGGTCAAGGGAAGAACGGGTGCAGAGTTGGGATGAAGAGCTGAGGTGGGGACAGCAGAGGTGAAAGGATGTGGAGACCCCATTTTAAGAAAGATTGGGTGAGAGTGGTAGGAACTGAGACAGCAAGAATTGGGGGCAGTTTAGCAAAGATTTAAGGATGGAAGAAGTCCTCAGAATGGTTGGAGATGGAAAGGAAGCATATGATAGGCTAGGAAGTTAGAGGTTGAATCTGTGAGGACAAAAAGATACATACTTACAAGACCTGGGACAGGACTATGATCAGTTATCAAGAAAGGGGTGAGCTCAGAACGCATCTACTTTGGTGGTGGTTCTTAAAAGACAGTGTGGGACAGAGGAGAGGTGGAGTGTTTAGGATGAGCAAAACTTGGGGAGCTGAGCAGGGGGGGTATGGGAGATTGTGATAAGAAAGCTGACCCCGAAAAAAGCGAACCAGAATGGTGGGTCTCAAGGAGATCTGCGTGGAGCATTAGAAATGCCAAAAGGGTTGAGGGGTGAGGATGAGATGTGTTAGGCAGAGGAATGTGGCCGAGATCAGAGGTGGAACTGGGCTAGAGTGGGGTCAAGGGTAAGGCTGCATTTACGCAAGACTGGTGGAGAGGGCTTGGGGGTAAGGGCTGGAGTCGGGTCCTGGAGAGGGGACAGGACAGCAGTGGCAGTGCGGGACGGAGGCTAGGATCGGAGGAGGAAGTGGGTACACGGGGTTTGGGCAGTCTCAAGGCAACCAGGGGTTCAGGATCACGTCGAGGGCTGCTGGCCCTTCGTCCCTTCGCGCCTCGGTCCGCCGCCCCTCCGCTGCCCTCCACGCCCCGATCTCTAACTCACCAAAGGAAGTGGGGAGCGGGTCAGGGGAGTACTCCAGACCACGCAGCCCCAGAAGCTCCGACCCGACCCTGCGGCCTCCAGGTTACAGACAACAGCAAGCTGCACCCAGGGCGCCTGACGCCATCACGTAGACTCAGTGTCCGGCCCCGCCCCCGGCCCGCGGAGCCTATTGCAGAGCCCGGAGATGCAGGGGGCGGGGCGGGGCGGGGCTAGTGCTTCCTGACGTCCGAGGATTCCCCGCCCGAGTGGTTGCAGGGCTCCGAAGCGCCAGGGCCCGGCGTTGGGCAGAACGCGTCTTCATTGCCCGCTTCTCGCAGAGTCTGCGTCAGATTAGATTCTGGCATCTGGGTTCCTGACCTCTCCTGGTCTCAGCACCATTTGCATAGCTTTGAGGCTGTGGTTCCTTCAGCGAAGGTTGTACACTTGTAACGTGGGATTAATAACCCCTACCCTGGTTTTGCCTTGACAGGGCATCAGCGCAGCCCGGGAGCAGAGCTCAGGCCCAAGTTGGAGCCTCCCGCTTGGAGGCTCTCAAGAACAACACACGTTTTGACCACACCTTACACTAAAAGGAAGCGCCTAGAGACCCCTTGGGCATTCTCCTGTACGGCTCAGCAGTAGGGAAACGCAAAGCTCAACTAGCCATGCAGATAATGTGTTTGATTTTCATCATAGAAGTGACATTTCTCTTTTAAATGGACTTAAAACAAAAATAGCCCCGCCATGTGGCTCAGTGGATTGAGGGTTGTCCCATGGACTGAGAGGTCCTGGTTCCATTTCGTCAGGACACATGCCCGGTAGCAGGTTGAATCCCCAGTAGGGGGCGTTTAGGAGGCAGCCAAAAGATTTCTCTCACATCAATGTTTCTCTCACATCGATGTTTCTTTTTCTCATTTCCTCTCTCTAAAAAAAAACAATAAAAACATATTAAAACAAAAGTAACAGGATGCACTGTGGTGCTTCAGATGCTTCACAGGTGCAAGCATTGGTCAATTGGGACTAGCGTGTGAGTCCCCATGCGGCCGTATGCCAAGATGCAGGTCCAGAGGGACCATATGGATGGCTACAGGGCTGGTTGAGGAACAGGTCAGTTCTTAGAAGCAAGCTGCATTGATCTCTACTGCGGGTTCCTGTGCTCATGGGTCTTCTGGGAATGAAGGTGTCCCTCATGTGTGCGAGAAGGTCCATATCCCAGTGCCCGTTTCCACTTATAAAATCAGCGGTTGGAGTGTGGTTGCCCACGGTGTAATTCTCTAGCAGTGAAAACCTCCCCCTGCCCTCCCTTTTAAGCTAGATGAGTGAATGCTAAGAGCCTACACTATGGTTAATGGTTGAGCAGGAAGATTAGAAATAAAAACTTAGTAAAATGTGACTCTCTCTGCCCTAACCTAAGAGACAAGGGTCAGGGTTTTAATATTCGTGGAAAACTGAAGCTACTATTGTTTGCCAGATAAAAACTGATTTGTTCTTACCAACCACCTGGAAGGTAGGTGCCTTTGTTATCCCCATAGTACAGATAAGAAAACAGGTTTGAGAGAGCTAACTTGGGGGTCCAAGGCCACACAACTTATAAATGGTAGAAGCAGGGTTCTCACCCAGCTCTTTCCGATTCTTGTTGGAGAGGCAGCATAGTTCCCTCAGTAACAGCCAATGGGTTTTGGAGACAGGAATGCTTAGGTTTGAATCCCAGCTCTAGCCTATGCTGTTTTCTGAGACTTCCCCAAACAGGGGCCCAGGGCAACCCAATAAGTATGGGGCTAAGACAACTGCTACAATGTATTTTTTCATAGGCTCCTTGAGATAACATTAAAGATAGAAACTTGATGTTCAGAAAAATCAAGTCATACCACCCATGGCTCCTTAGCCTCAGGAGCAGAGGTCAGAGTGTATGAAGAAAAGGAAGTTTCAAAATCTCTGAGCTTCAGTTCCTTGCCTGTAAATTGGGAAAGATATCAGCTGATGTGAGGATTAACTAAGATAATATCCTCAGAACAGTTTTTGGTCTGTAGTAAGCATGTGAAGATGACTAGCTATTATCATTACATTTCTGGCAATTCTCACTGGCTGGTTTGGCTCAGTGGTTGGAGCAGCGGCCTGTGGACCAGAGAGTCCCGGGTTCGGTTCCCGCTAGAGGCACATACCAAAAAATAAAATAAAATACAACATACTAGTTGAACAATTATTTCTTAAAAATGTAATTTGTGCATTGGTCTTGTAATATTCATTGTAAGAGTATCTAACTTGCCTTAAGAAAGTGTTAAACAAAATTCAAGGGAGTACATTTCTGGCAATTCTCATCTTTCCAAGCAGCCAAGTCCCTGCCTTTAACAGCTCTTCAGAGCCCTGGAGTGAGATCCTTTCTTGTTTGAACCCCAGATATGTCCTTACTTGCCATCTGATTGGAATCATCAAACTGGAATTAATGCAATCATCTCTCTTCATACTGGAATAGCTAGTGTTCTTCTGGGTTCTGTTGTAGGAAGCTGGTTCTTCCCACACTCTTTATTAAAAGGTGGATTTAAAAGTTTTTATTATTTGTCAGTTATACCTCAGTAAAGTTAGAAAAAAGATCACAAGTTAATAAACTTAAAAAAACAAAACAAAAAAAACCCACAAAATTTATTGTATATACACAGTTCAATAAAATGTTCAGGTATCCTGAGGATGGGGTTCGCTCCCTGGCAGTATCGTGTGCTGTGATTTGCTTGGCCCCTAAGCCGCCGAGTCTGTAGCAGCAACCTTGAACACTGAGAATTCGCCACGCAACCTGGGGCGAGAAGAATAAGGCCAAGGCTTTGACTCTTGAAAGGAACAATTAAACTATTCATTATTTCCTCATTTTAGACAAGAATTCTAAATTGTTCCCAATCATTTACATTTTGTAGAACAGCTCATCCTCAACAGACACATCCTTGTCATGCAGCTTTTGTGCCATGTTTTCTATGGACGTGGCACTGACAGGTCTATACAAATCCCTAAGCCAAAACGGCTGCCTTTTCCAGAAAAGGTGCTCCTAGAAAACAGACAGGGGAATATGAGTTCTGTGTCTCCCCTGCTTTGTCCCGCCATAGTACTTTATCCTCTTTAAATTTACCTCCATCTCGTGTTTCGGTGAGCTTCTCTTATGATGGAGAATTGAAAAAAAGCCCCTTGGAGGAAAACACATATTGACAATTAGTGATTTATGCCATTTTCCATGTCTCTCACAATGTATAGCTCTGGTCTTGTTCGGATTAAAAGGTGGATTTAATCCACCTTTTATGGGTACTTGGGTCCATACTCACAAGCAAAATCACCAAAGACCTGGAACCCTGAAAATGATTCCTAGTATGCTGGGCTTCCAGAAGTTCTCGGTGTCTTTAAAATAGGCCCACAAGTCTGGCCAGTGTGGCTCAGTGGACTGAGTGCTGTCCCATGGACTGAGAGGTCCCAGTTCCATTCCGGGTCAGGGCACATGCCTGGGTTGTAGGCTAGATCCCCAGTAGGGGGCATGCAGGAGGCAGTCAATAGATGTTTCTCTCTCACATCCATGTTTCTAACTCTCCCTTCCTTTCTCTAAATAATCAATAAAAACATTTAAAAAATAATAATATGGCCTCACAATGTCTCTGGGAGACCTTTGTATGTGGCTCGGCCTGGAGTACAGGCAGGATTTTCAGCCCCACTCCCTTTCTTGGACAAGTGCCCTCGTGCAATGAAAAAGAATGTACAACCCCTGCCCTGGCCAATGTAGTTCAGATGGTTGGGCGTCATCTTGTGCACCGAAGGACTGCTGGTTCAATTCCAGCTCAGAGCCCATATCCGGGTTGTGGGTTCAATCCCCGGTGGGGAGCATGAGGGAGTTGGCCAATTCACGTTTCCCTCTCACATTGATGTTTCTCTCTCTTTTCCTCCCTTCTCCCTTCTTCTCTCTTTGGGGAGACACAAAACAAAAACGAACTCCAGTGGGCAGAAGCAGTTTATTCTCTCCAGAAGCATTTCACATGGGTCCTCTTTAGACTTAGTCTCACATGCATTATTTGCTGAGGCAGGGTGGGGGTGCTTTTATTTTCCTAGCTTCTTTATCCTGTAAGTTAAATCATACCAACTAAATGCCTAAGTCCAACTAGCAAAGTTATCTAGCTTGCTGACTTTCATACTGCAGGCTGTTACTGATGAGGAGTGAGTTATGAAATCAGTTTAAGGCCATAACCAGCACCAAAACATTCTTTTTTGACTAGAAACAGAATATAAAAATCAGAATGCATAATAATTTTGTTTTAGAAACTACCAATGTCTATATGGTATGTGTGTACCAAGGTGTGGCATAAAATGTAGCTCACAACTCAAGCACAGTATCATCAATGGAGAAATCCCCATGGGAAAGGAACCACCTTCTTTCTTTTCCTTTAATGTATTTTTTTTTTTTATCCTCACCCAAGGACATTTTTTCATTTGTTTGTTCAGACAGAGTGGGAGGGAGGGAAGAAGGGAGGAGGGAGGGAGAGAGGGAGAGAGGGAGAGAGAGAAAGAGAAACATCGACATGAAAGGGACACATCAAATGGTCACCACCCGCATGAACCAACCAGGGCCGGGGACAAACTGCAACGGAGGTATGTGCCCTTAGCGGGAACTAAACCAGAGTCTCTCTGGACCACAGGCTGATGGTCTAACTGCTGAGCCAAACCAGCCAGGGCTCTTTAATGTATTTTTATTGCCCTGGCCGGTTTGGCTCAGCAGTTGGAGCATCAACCCGCAGTCCAGAGTCAGGTTCAATTCTAGTCAAGGACACGTACCTTGCTTGCAGTTCAATCCCCGGCCCTGCTTGGGTTCGTGCTGGAGGCAACCAATCGATGTTTCTCTCTCTCTCTCTCCCCCTTCATCCCACTCTATCTGAAAATCAGTGAAAAAATATCCTCGGGTGAGGATTAAAAATAATAATAATAATAAATATATTTTATTGATTTTGGAGATCGAGGAAGGGAGAGGGAGAGAGAAATAGACACATCCATCTGCTGCCTCCTGCATGACCCCTACTGGGGATGAAGCCAGCAACCCCAGGCATGTGCCCTATGAATTGAACTGGTGACCTCTTAGTACGTGGGACAATGCTCAACCAACCAAGTCACACTGGCCAGGTGGAACCATCTTTCTGATACTCATTAGCAGTGTGACAGTGGGGCAAGATATCTTCTCTTTTCCCTTCTCCATTTTCTTATTACTAAAGGAAAAGGAAAACTATTGTCTAAGGTCTCTCCCAGTTAAAATTCTGTGAGATTTGGAAAAAGGGAATAGAGAGAGAAGGGGCCTGAAAACCAATAGGATGAGAAGAGAAGTTTTCCTGTTACTTTACAGGAAGGACTCATATATTCTACCTTTCATCAGCCATGAAGAAAACTAGTGCCCTCACCCTAAGACCACATGGCTTTCCCTACCCCTTCCCCAGAGTCTCTACCACCAGCAGAGACAGGTGCAACCAAGACCTCTCCCTCTGCACAGCTTCCTTAGACGGGTGACAGCAGACACATCTGTGCCAGTCCCATTCTGTCTCAGCTTTGCCTAGGAGCTAAGTTTGCAAAATCTAGGCAAAGCGTCAAAGTAAATAAGTATTCTTTCCAAATTTGGTGGTTTCCTCACTGTAAAATGAGGAGATTGAAATAGGTGAGTTCTAAGTTCTCCTCTAGTTCTTTTCTTTTTTTTTTTTTTTAACTTTTATTAGCATTTATTTTATGATGAATTTGCTCTGGGGCCATATGTTTTTGTTTCTTCCATTTCTTCTGGGATATCTTTTTTTTCTGTACAACCCTCCTCTTCTGGTTTAGGAACAATCTGCTCTTTTTCAGTACAAATCCTCTCCATGTGGCAGGGAGAGCTAGTGAATAAGTTAACCTGCCCATGAGCTCTGTGAGTTCCATGCCACATCTTGGTAACATTGTTCACCTGGATGTGCTCAATGACCAGAGAATCTACAGCTGCACCCTTAAGCTCTGCATTACTTTCTGCATTTTAAAACAAGTGCAGCAAAAATCCAGCAATCTTTTTGGGCCACTGACTCTATACCCATCCCCACTCTTTGGCCTGGGCACATCTACCAACTCCACCATTGTAACAAAAGAATGGCACACATTGCTTCTATAAAGTGACATCCTTCAGATATGTGGTGGCTTTTCGGATATGCATACCCTTGATGGCTTGGGCAGTTTCACAAGTGCTCTTAAAGAGAACACAAGGATTTGAACCTCTTGATTTACATGATTTTGTGGGGTTTTCTGGATCAAGTGAATGGCAAACCATTTTCAGAGGTCTCCTCAGGCTGCTTACATGAAAAGGTAGCTCCTCTAGTTCTAAAATTCTACTTAAAAAATTGCCAGACTCATATTTACCTTGAGCTTCCTTCTTTACCTTCTTCTGATGGTGTTCTATAATAAATCTGTTTTGGAGGAAAACAACATCATGATTATTCATCATAATGACCACTATCTCTAAATCTTTATTTGTCCCCTTTTAAGTGAGATGATAACTTCCTTGAGGACAGGAATTCTGTTGAACAGTCCCCTTTGACTCTTCCATAGTCTCTAACTTAGGATCATGCATGCAGCTGGCAATGCCTTTTATTGGCTGTTTTAGATAACATTCAGTCGAGAATTCCTAATAAAAACTCTTAGAAATAGGAAAATAAAATAAAAGCATCTACCGGAAACCTACACAGCAGCTTTGTTTTAAGGTCAAGAACAAGAGTAGGAAGCCTGTCATTACTCTTACTGTTCATAATTGTTGAGGCGGTTCTAATCCATTTAATAAGAAAAATGAAATACTGGAAAGAAAAAGACAAAATATATTTGTACATGAGATGATGCACAACCTTAAAAGCCCAAGAGCATTGACTAAAATTTTATTGGCAGTAATATGACAATTCAGTAAGATGGCTAAGTCCAAAATCAGGAGCTCAACATGAAAGCTCAAGAGCTTTCCGATATATCACAAATAACTAAGTAAAAAAATGAAAGAAAGAGCCATGTACAATACCAATAAAAGTACATAAAGTACCTAGGAATAAACTTAACAAAAAATGTGTACGACCTATTGCTGAAAACATTACAACTCTTCTGAAGGACATTAGGAAGAATACAGGATGTGAAATACTATGGTCCCAGAATGTTGTAAAGATGTCAATTCTGCTCAAATTAACCTAAAAACGCAATGTAACCCTATTCAAATAACAAGATAGTCTTTAAACAGAAACAGGCCAGCTGACATTTGGTAGAGAAAATGTGTAAGAATAGTTATAAAATGTATGAAAAAGAAGATAAAAAAGCAGGCCTTACCCTACCAGGTGTCTAAATCTGTTACAAAGGAACTGGAATTACATAGTGATACTGCTATTGGTACAGAAAAAGATAACTGGATCGACAGAATAGAAGCCATACAAAGACAGTGTTTTAGATCAGTGAAGAAAGAATGAGCTATTCAATAAAAGATTTAAAAACAATAGGATCTTCATGTAGGAGAAAAACAGTCAATCATACTAAAGACAAATAAAACCAATGACAGACAGATTTAAAAAAACTTATAAATAACAAGAAATGCTATAAAAAGGACTAGAAGAAAATGTCAGAGACTACTTTCACGGGGTGACAAAAGCCTTGTTACCAAAACCCCATCCCATAAGCCATAAGAGGACTGGCAGCCGGGGCGGCAGACTGTCTACACACAACCTTCTCTTCACAGCCCTTGCCCTCTTCGCCCCTCGAATGTTTGTCTTCTTCCTGTTGATTTATCTCAACCCTTTCTGAGGCTTTCATTGAATTTCAGTGTTTCCAATATTTCCCAGTGTTTTTGTTTTTAAGGAGACAGAACAGTCAAGCAAAATGGGGTTCTGCTTTTGGTTTTGCCACTGGGACCTTAAGTTGATCTTCTTCATCTATGGAAGATGGTGCTACTATCATTCTCACAGGATTGTAGGGATTGAATCAGACAATATGTGGAAAACTCCTCATCCTGTGCTTGGCATAAACCAGTGCTAAGTTTGCTAAGGGTGTCACAACAAACAGGGTGGTCAAATCTATCAAAGGGTTCTGTCTGCAGTACCAGGCTCAGGAAGCTCTCCCCCACCACCAGACTATAAAAATAATGCTTGTATTTTCTTCTAGTACTTCTACAGTTTCTTATTTATTTATTTATTTACTTACTTACTTACATAAGTATAGTTGTTTAAGGTGAGAAATAGAGATCTGCTGTTATTTCCCCCTCAATCAGTTAAGTAGCTATTCTATTACCATTTACTTATTTTCTTCCACTGATTAGAATATTAAAAGGTGACATTTCCAAAGTGTTAGGAACACAAGGGTCTGTCTATTGCTGGATTCTGTGTGCTACTTCAAATAAATGTTAGGCTGCATTACTCCTCACTGTGGAACTGACAAAATGTCTCATCTTTCTTCCTTTGAACACCATCACTGTCCTCTACAAAGCAAAACATGGCATGGTCCACATCCTCAAAAAGCTTATCATCTGACTGGGGAGAGGAAATAATGAAACCACATAAATGAATACAAATGCAAAGTTAAATTACACAGAAATTAAATGTAGTATAGGAATTTATAGAAATTCAAAAAAAAGCAAAAGGCTATATGCCACCTGGAGATGCACAGGGTACTGTCTGGGCACTTGCCGATTAACTTCTTCCCAGAGGCCTTGGCAAGCTGACCCCATGTTAGTCCCCAGCCTCCCAGACTCATAAATCAGACTCTGTCCTCACCAAGAGAGCTGATTTCTTCCTACCAGGGAAGTCTCACCTTATCAATACTGCAGGATTAATAAAAAATCAAAATGCCAGATTATGATCTGACAATGAGAATTACACCTGTTCCACAGACACATCTGTGTCTAACTGACCAGGGAAATACATTCTATAGAGATAGGTCACTGTGGCACACCAAAGCACCATCAGAAAGCTGCTTGGTGGGAACGGAACTAGAACAAAAGGAATCAGCTGAATCCAGTGTTGAATGGAAAGAACTCAGTTAGCTGGATCCATCCATCTTTCTGATAGGCACAGCCTGGCTGGTTGGCCAGACTCTCCACATCTGCTGCCTGAGGTGCCCTCTCTACTCTTAGGCAATGCTAGGGTGGGTTCTGCCCATGTCGGTCTCTTCTTCACCTTTTCTCCGCTTTTACTACTGATCTGCCCTCCTGCAGATAGACATATCCGGCAGTTAACATATCCTATCAGATTTTACTCAAGTCTGATAGGCCAGGAAGTCATTTGGTCCTTACACATCTCTACTCTGTTCCAAGATGTGTTGACCTTGGTATTTCTCTCTTAGGGAGCCACCTTTTAACAAATTGTTACTATATTCTTCAGTTTTCAGGGAAGGGGAATGCTTCACTATTGCCCCGACAGAAATGGGGACAAATCTCACAGAAGGACTAGGACCAGCAGGGCTGATGTACTCAGGGAAGGCTTTATGAGGAAAGATGAACCTGAGCTGGCTTTTGAGAGATTCATAGGGTTTCCACAGGCAGAGCAAAATCAGGGGAATTTAGATGGGCAGAAGCACAAACAAAAGTGGGAATGGGCACAGCGTGGCTAGGTTATAGTGAGGGGCTGCTTTGGCTGGAATGGAGGGCTGCCATGACCACTGAAAAGGTAAATAAGGTAATTTAGGTTGGGTTAGTAGGATAGAGTCAAGATCCTCAGCTTATTAAATCACTCTTTTAATGTCAGTATCTGCCTGTTAGGAAAATAAACCATTATGTAATTGGACAAAAGGGACACAGGCAAGCTCCAGGAACAGGTGACTACAATATGACATGCTGTAGAGAAGCCTGATGCAGGATTTCGGTTGCAGTGTTTTAACTGAACCTATTTACACCAAGCCTTACACACTGGAGAAGAAAGCTGCTAAGTAAATCTAGTGAATTCACAAAATCACACTTTTATCTTTCAGCCATGGTCTTTCTGCCAGGGTGACATAGCTCCATGAGGGTGGACATTCTTTCTCTCTCCTCATTTCAGCCAAGAGGGAAAGAAATCAGTAGTAGAAAGAGAGTGATTGGTGAGTACATCAAATCAACATCGTTTTGGGTTGAAGAAATTTTGCTATCATGTCAACTCTGGCCTATTTAGCTTAACTTCTCAACATATTCTAGGGATTTAACTTGACTTCGGTTCCACAGAGATTTCTGGGAGTGGGTCGGGCTTCCTTTAAAAATCCCTGGAATATAATTTGTAATATAAGAACAAAGTCTATCCCAGTGCTTGTGACTAAGGAGGAATATCAAGTAGGAGTAGGTGGGAAAGTGGCTTTCATTTTCAGTTTGTGGGTTCTGAATCTATTCTAAAGACAGAATGTACTTTGGAAACTGAAATTAACTGTTGTCTTACCGCCATGAAACAGAAAATTACAATAAAAACTATTGCTCCTAAAGTCACAGGTATTGCCACGATGAGATGGTGGTTGTAGCCATATCCTTGCACTTCTTTTGTGAGCTATAAACAACAAGAAAGAACATTAAAAAACAAAAACAAAGAGATAGAAATAACTATTCTCTAGCCTGTTCTAAAGAACAGCTAACTCTTCTTTACTACTCTAAACCCCCACTCTTTCAGGTGAATCGCTTATAGGTTCTTAAAGAACATACCAAATCTAATGTTTTATGTAATCTTAACATTAGCAATTTCTTGTACAGTGTAACTTGTGTTAGGTCCTCTTCTCATTCATCCTAGGAACAGTGGCACCATTCTCTAAATGAGCAACGTAGGAGGTGCCTGTCTTAGCCAAAGTCACAAGGCCAAGACAAGATACAGACCAGGGCCCCTGGTCTTCCTGCCTGGTGCTTTCATAGCATGTCCTAAACTGACTAAAAGTCCAGGTCCTATGTTTTGGGAGCTGTCCTCACCTCATTTGACTCCTGCTCTATCTGTTTACTCTGGGCTTCTGGCCTCTCATTCATATAGTTCTCTTTTTTCCATTGATTCGTATCTTGCTCTGCCTTGGAAACCTTTACTTTTTGCTGCTCATTGAGATGCTTTATCAGGAAGCCTGTTCCAGAAAAATAGTTTCCTCAATTTATTTTTGTAACTTGAATTGTAAAATTCAGTTTTAAGGGAACGATTCCCTCTGTTGTTTTTTTAAATGACTTAGGGGCATATCTCCATCTTGCACATTTGAAAAAAGAAGTTTAATGAATGGTAATAACGTTGATTCTATTTCTTCTAGAATCCCCCCCAAGAACAAAGCAATATATAATCTAGTGCCCTAGTAACATCACTTTTCTCATTAAAGTCTAGCTGCTCACTCATGAAGGGTGATAAATTGTCACCATTTTTTACTCTGGATGCTCCCTCTGGCTCAACAGTCAGCTCAGTGCTGGTGTTCTTCCGGCCTTCTAATATTTTCATGAACAATCCTTCTATAAGTAGCTCTTCATCTGTCAAAAAAGAACAGACCACTTTTGATAATGAAAGACTCATGGACAGCTTTTTGTCAGTCCACAGCCAGACAGCCCGGTCAAATAAACTGGGAATCACAAATATGTGAGTGAAGAGAAACAGAAACCCTAACTTAAATCTGTGATTGTCAATACAACAAAAGGAGAAAAGGTATCTTTTATAACAAGTGGTTATTTATTCAGAACATTCCGTAGTGTGAATATAGTAACTATATTTAGGATTATTCCATTGGTCCCAGAGGGCCAATTGCTGGCACTGAAGAAAAGCCAAGGCTGGAAGACCCCACTCAGTTAGACTCTGCAGCTCTCCTGTGACTCCTCACACTCGTGCCCATCCTGTCCTGCCTCGGATGCAGAGGGAGCCTGAGGCCTCCCGTCTCCACCTCTTCAGGGTGCTCGTGTTCTTGCTGCTATCACAGATGACCACGATTTACACCCACTGCTAACAGGTTCTCATCAGGACATGCTCTTCTCCACTTACCACCAATTCTTTACCTTGGTCCCTGCTTCCGCACATCCCAGCCCCCATAACAGAAGGTTCTATATAAAAAACCACTATTTCCACCCTAGCTCGTTGCTTACATATAGGCAGGCATCTGGGATGTAGGTTAAGAGATTTGCCAGGTTAGATGCCAATGTGGAATGTTCAATAAATCTCGGGGTCGTAAACTACAGAAGGGAAAAAGTAACTTTTGGCAGATGCCCACTTTGCTTTCATTTCATGTCATTTCTTATATTTTCAGCTTTACTTGGCAAACCATCCAAAGCTTCTGACTTTGTGAAGGTCAAGTGTACCATTGTGCAGCTGGGTTTCTTTTCCAGAAGAATTCAAAGTATTGCTGCTGCTGGTGAGGGTCAGAGAAGGAGGTAAGAGTCCCGAGGAAGGAGGAGCACGGGCTCACGCAGAGCCCAACACCGGGAGCAGGAGTCCCGGGAGGGAAGAGAGAAACCACAGAACTTCTATGCATGTACGCATAACCAATGGGAATGGACAGCAAAGCTGGGTATGGGGTGGAGGGGATGGGAAAGAGGGTGTCAATGGAGGGAAAAAAAGGAGAAACATCTGTAACAAAAATATATTAATTAAAAAAAAATGCCTGTTCTGCCCACCTTTGGGGTAGAAGTGAGTAATACAACTGGTCAAAACGTTGTTTTGAAAAATAAGCAATATTGTCTATATATTCTAGAAGTACAGCATTATTAATTATGATGCGCCCCAGACCACTGACAGAGACTGTATTCAAGCTATCTGGGCATAAAAACACATTTTGGAAATTATCAAGTAGGTGCCGATAAACCTAAGATGTAGAAAAATACTTAGCAGCAGCTAGTGTGTGGTGGGTAGAAAACCTGAGCTCCAGAGCAAGTTCAGAGCTGGGTAGTCTAAGAGCATCCATTAGACGGGCTTGGTAGCAGCTTCTGGTGATGGATCCAGAAACTCTCAGGTTTCAAATAAAACTTTCATAAAACAGCATTTTTGTACTCTTTATATAAAATTGCAAAACCAACATAAAAATATATCTATACCTGTCCTACAAGGCAAAGAAAGGGCAATTGAAACCTAATGCATACACAGTTTGCACACTGTGATACACTAATGAACAAGTTCTCATCTGGAAGTAAAGCACCAAGCAGAGAGCACAACACACACTATGTGGCCATTAATGTTAACTCTCTTCCCCCTTCCTTTCCTCTCTTGTTCCTTAATCTGACATTTAGCAAGGAGTAGTACTTAGAAAATGAGGATGTGGCACTCTGAGTGAATAAAAATAATGCAGTTACATTATTTGTTTAAAATTTTATTATCATCGATTAAAAATAAAAAATTAAAACATGAATAAAATAGTTTTCTTTTCTTTTCTTTTCTTTTTTTTTTAGTACATGCTCCTAGCGGTAACTGAACCCAGGACTCTCTGATCCACAGGCCAACACTCCAACCACTGAGCCAAACCGGCCAGAGCTAAAATTTAAAAAATGTATCACTGGGCAATTCAGACTCACCACAAGGTGTCTTTGTCAGACACTCAGGGTCACAATGCAGTTTGACTGTCTTGCCGACAGCCTCAATATTCTTTTTAAATTGGCAGAGGCAGCAGGCCAAATGGCTAGGTAAGACCCTACAAATGGAAATACAGAGAATTAGGTTAGTGGCAAAGAAGTTACTTGAATTGGTAGGCCAAGGCTACCACAGGGCCGTGCGAAAAGGAGCTTCTGGGGAACATCACCTGAACAGAGTGGTAGGGATCAGTTGGCCATTTGCTATTCTTGAATATTGTAAATAAATAGAGAGGAGGACAGACGTGCCCAGCAGAAGGATAACTGCAGTGGGTATGGAATGTCTAGAATATAGGTGACAGGGGTTAGAATTGGGTGACACTGATCTGTAGTTTAATTCGGAAGTATCTTCTTCTCCCAACTCCAAATTCTCACTTTGGGCTGAGAGTACACAGGAAGAGGGAAGACTTCTAAGAAGACTCTAGATAAGTTGCCATCTTGTGAAGTCCTTTCTCAATTCCTAATTGTGAATCACTCTGGGCATAAGAAACATTGTGTGGTTACCTGGCCTCAATAAACCTGACTTAAGAAATTAATAAAACAAACTTAAAAAAAAATGACTAAGTGAAAATAAATATAAGAAAGATCAACTTACAGTTTTTCCAAATGAAGGGTCATCACAAGGATTCTCTCAACTGTTATAAGTGACACTTGTGTTTTTCCCATGTCTCTGAAGGAGAAAGCCCAAATATGCATGATATAAATCCAAAGACACACATTTTATGCTTAAAAAGACACTTAATGACATGCAATTACTTCAATTCTGGCTTCTCTGTCAAGCCAGCTCAAGGGCTTACTTGCCATAGATGATAATTTCAGAGAGCTCTTCTTGAAGAGATTTAAATGTATTTGTGCCATCAAAGTAATGGCCTTGGTGAACAGTACTATCTTTTTTCTTTTTTTCTTTCTTTTAAACTATTATCCTATTTATCATTCTCTATTGCACCCACCACTTGATTACTCTTTTTAAAAAATGCATAATGTACAACTTGTTTCTTTTTTCTTTCTGTAATCAATAGTATTTCTACATGCATCTACATGTCCCATATCTGAATGTGTTCTTCAACACTGCTCCCCTCCTCTGCTGGCTGTCTTGCCCATGTGCATTCTTTCTTAATCATTTTTCTATGCTAATAACTCTTATTCAATAACCCAGTTAAAACATTTTTTTTTTATCTTCACCTGAGGACATTTTTTTGTTCAGATAGAGTGGGAGGGAGGGAGGGAGAAAGGGAGAGAGAGAGAGAGAGAGAGAGAGAGAGAGAGAGAAAGAGAGATGTGAAAGGGACACATCGAGTGGCTGCCACCTGCACGACCAACCAGGGCCAGGGACAAACTGCAACCGAGGTACGCGCCCTTAGCAGGAACCGAACCCGGGTCTCTCTGAACGGCAGGCCGACGCTCTAACTGCTGAGCCAAACTGGCCAGGGCAACCCAGTTAAAATTTAAATTATGACTTTTTAGTCAAAGCACAAAATACTTAATTATTGACAAAAGTAAGAAAGAGCAGAAATCATCTCATGAGAGGTGCTGGTTGCAATACTTACAAATATTTTAATGCTGGCAACTTAAAAAGATATGGATCTTGAACAGTTGTCAGAGGATTACAACTGAGAATTCTGAAAAATGCAATGGAATTAAAATGATCTTCCTTTGCAATAACTGCCATGAAAGTTTATATTCATTTTGTTGGTATAAAACTTGATGGTTAAAAAAAAAACATTTTCTGTCTTTACCTAGAATCACCCTTAGAATCTATACAGCACTCTTTTTTTTAAGGAACTACCCCGGTCTCTAAACAATAAAGTGGAGAAAAGGAAGTTAAAAAAAGAAAAGTAGATAGCAAAGAAAAATATATACTGAAGAGCTTTTCAGATTGAAAACTCTAGAAGTGACTATGCTAAAAGGAAACTCTTGCTCTATAGGAAATACTATTTCTCCATAATTCAAGAAATTAAAATAATTTCACAGTTTAAACCACCCAGTTAAAGACAAAAATAGGACTAATTCTTTGGTTTTGGAGCCAAAGAAGGGATATCTAAGAGGAACTGGTGAAACCCATACTCCCATCACATACCCATGTTTATTCTTGTATCATAGGTTTTGTTACATTGTATGTAATCATCTGTGTATTTGTAAGTTTCTTGGACTGTTAGCTCCTCAAGGGCAAGGACCACATTTTGTCATTGTTCACCCTGTGTCTGACAATAGTGCCTGATATTTACTAGGTATTTAATAAATGTTTGTTTAATAAAAAAATAACATTTTGTTTACATATCAATAAAATAAACAAATTTACTTTCTTTATCCTTTTTTTTTTTTAAATCCTCACCCAAGGACATTTTTGCATTTATCTTCAGATAGGGAGGGAGGGAGAGAGGGAGGAAGAGAGAGAGAAGAACATCGACATAAGAGAGACACATCGAGTGGTTGCTACCCACACGGCTCCTGCAACTGAGGTATGTGCCCTTAGCGGGAACCAAACCTGGGACTCTGGTCCACCGGCCAACGTTCTAACCACTGAGCCAAACCAGCCAGGGCAACAAATTTTTTTTTTTGACACAAATTTTTATTCCAAATGCTGGAATAAGTTTTCTCCTCAATTCTTAAAACAAACAAACAAAAAAACCCAAAAAACAAAGACAGAAAGAAAAGAAAATCTGTTTTTAGGTTCACTCAAGTATCATTAATGTATTTTTACAGCATATTATAAAGATAATTATCACAGTTAATATCAATTAGGCTGCTGGGCATCTGTGATGAGCGCTTCACATTTAATCCTCACAATAATCTTATTGATAAATTTTATTACCTCATTTTACAAATGAGGAAACTGAGGCACACAGAGGTTATGAACTTGTCCTAGGTAGTCAAACAAGTAAGAATCAGAGCTGCAATGTGAACTAAGTTCTGACTTCAAAACTTGTATTTAATCTCTATGAAGAAAAGGTGTTTAAAATAGCTGTTACTTCAACCTTAAATCTGAGACCACTAAACATAGAAATACCTTTTCAAATTTCATATACTCATCTGGGAGAGCCTATGAGAATTACATTTTTTCATTTTATTCCTGTTCCCTAATCATCTCCCTTGATTAAATATATAACTAGTCTGTAGTTATTGAGACTTTAGAGATTTAAAACTGTGTCATAGGTAAATCAGTGAAAATGGTGGAGTAAGGCACCTGAAAATTCATCCCTAAAAAGCCAACAAAAAACAATTGGCAAAAATTGTCAGAATAAACTTTTTCTTTTTTGGCACGTGCCTCTAGCGGGAACCGAACCCAGGACTCCGGTCCTCAGGCTGATGCTCCAACCACTGGGCCAAACTGGCCAGGGGCAGAATAAACTTTTTCAAACTCTGGAAATTTAACCAAGAGGTTTGCAGGAGTTCAGGGAACATTTATTTAAGAAAAATGATTAATTTCTGTAAGAACAGTGATCTGTGTTGCTTTAACTCATCCTAGACCTTTGCTCTCCATCCCAGTGGTAACCTTGAAAAATGGCCCACATTCCCAGTACAACAAGGAGCAGATTAAAACAAAATTTCATTCCCAAAGAATTGTCATTTTACCTGTCTGGTGGTTCCCTGGAAGACCTCACTTGAAAGGCTTGTCTTTTAACTGATTGATAGCTGCCTAGTGCCAAAAACCTCTCTCCTCTGGGGGAATTTTTTAAAACAATTATAGGTAAATGTTTTAACATGGTAGTTGCTGAAGCAATGGATAACAATTGGCACACAAAAAAAAGCTTAACCAAAAAGCTTTTTAAAAAAGCTGAGAAATAAAATGTCCATAGAGACTCTGAAGTTCTCCAACTTATGCCTGGAAAAATGGAAGACCATGAGACATATTCCTGGGAATCTAGAAAAAAACAACAGCGCTAATAAATAAGTTCAACAAGGTTGGAAGATACAAGACCAATATGCAAAAATTAGTTGTGTTTCTATACACTAGCAATGAGTAATCAAAAAATAAAATGAAGAAAATAATTCCATGGCCCTTGCCAGTTTGGCTCAGCGGTTAGAGTGTCGGCCTGCAGTCCGGAGAGACCCGGGTTCGGTTCCCGCTAAGGTCACGTACCTCGGTTACAGTTTGTCCCTGGCCCTGGTTGGGTTGTGCGGGTGGCAGCCACTCGATGTGTCCCTTTCTCGTTGATCTTTCTCTCTCTCTTCCTCTCCCTCCCTCCCACTCTACCTGAACAAAAAATAGAAAAATGTCCTCAGGTGAGGATAAAAAAAAAGAAAATAATTCCATGTATAATGGCATCAAAAGGAATGAAACAGCCCTGGCTGGTTTGGCTCAGCGGTTAGAGTGTCGGCCTGCAGTCCGGAGAGACCCGGGTTCGGTTCCCGCTAAGGGCACGTACTTCGGTTGCAGTTTGTCCCTGGCCCTGGTTGGTCGTGCGGGTGGCAGCCACTCGATGTGTTCCTTCACGTCGATGTTTCTCACTCTCTCTCCCTTCCTCTCTCTCCCTCCCACTCTATCTGTACAAAAAATGGAAAAATATCCTCGGGTGAGGATAAAAAAAAAGAAAATAATTCCATGTATAATGGCATCAAAAGGAATGAAACAGCCCTGGCTGGTTTGGCTCAGCGGTTAGAGTGTCGGCCTGCAGTCCGGAGAGACCCGGGTTCGGTTCCCGCTAAGGGCACGTACTTCGGTTGCAGTTTGTCCCTGGCCCTGGTTGGTCGTGCGGGTGGCAGCCACTCGATGTGTTCCTTCACGTTGATATTTCTCACTCTCTCTCCCTTCCTCTCTCTCCCTCCCACTCTATCTGTACAAAAAATGGAAAAATATCCTCGGGTGAGGATAAAAAATAAAGAATGAAACATTTAGGGGAAAAAACTTGACCAAAGAATTGCGTGAGTCATATACTAAATATTACAAAACACTGTTTAAAGAAATTAAAGATATAAATAAATAGAAAGATATGCCGTGTTCACAGATCAGAAGATAATATTGTTAATGCGTAATCAATGGACATAGACAACAATGCTGGGGACGGGGGACAGGATCGGGAGGAGGGTGTCTGGGGGGAAAAGGAGAAACATCTGTAACAAAAATTAATAAAAATTGCAAAGAAGAAGAAGAAAATACTGTTAAAATGGCCCTACTCCCCAAAATGATCTGTGGTTTCAATGCAATCATTATCAAAATCACAACTGACTTCTTTCTAGAAATTGACAAGCTACTTCTAAAATCATTCAAGGGACCCAGAATAGCCAAAACAATCTTTTTAAAAAAATTTTTTCCCTCACCCAAGGACTTTTTTGCATTTACCTTCAAACAGAGAGGGAGGGAGAGAGGGAGGAAGAGAGAGAGAGGAACATCGATGTAAGAGAGACACATCGAGTGGTTACCACCCACATGACACCAACCAGCTCCGTACGTGCCCTTAGTGGGAACCGAACCGGGTCCTTGAGCCGATGCTCTAACCGCTGAGCCAAACCAGCTAGAGCGTCAAAACAATTTTGATAAAGAGGAACAACACGGGAGGACTTACACGTTCTGGTTTCAAAACCTAATTTTGGGGTCAGTTTTGTGGTTTCTGTTTTCTTGACATGAGACTATTTGAAGTCGACACTGAAAAATAATTTCAGCTACTCTTGCAGCTGTGCCTACAACTGTGAACAGAGGGGAATTTCTAGAGCAATGCAGAGCAATGGAATGGTCTCCTTCCGACAGTCCCTGACCCTCCTTCATATCTGAAGGGTGTACCAGTAGACCTTGGGTTCACTAAACTATGTTAAAGTCAGCCATTTCTAGTAGAATAGAAATGAAACCCAACCTACTTCAACCTTCACGGTCTATCCTTCTTGCCAGAAGTATTCCCTGGCTGACAGTTGGAACATAAGTGGAAGCAAAAGCTAAACTACTTTTTTACTCTAAGATAGCTATGTATTTGTCTTCAGGGTTCAAGGCATAACTAGTATTTCTAATTAGTCTAATAAATTCCCTAACTTCCTGCAGTGAACACTAATGGTATTGTCCTATTAAAACTTTCATTGTTTTGTTTTTTTAACTGGTCCATCATTCACAATAAGCTATGAGGGTAAATATGTATTATAACATGCAAATTGTAGTTGCAAGGATAGACTGTGAAGGTTGAAGTAGGTTGGGTTTCGTTTCTATTCTACCATACATATCTTATTTAATTTTATATGAATTAACACCACACATAATTTTGTGTGTTTTGGTATCACACTTGTATGATATTATACATTATTTTTTATTTTTATAAAATAAAATGTCTTATATTATTAAAGAATAAGTGCAATGATATGAACTAGCCTGTACATTTTAAAGTGTCGTCAAGTTATACACCCACATCTCTGTAAACAACCTTTCTTAAGTAATAAAAAAAGCAAAAATACTGTTTACTAAAAACAACAACAATACTCCCTCCACCAAAAAAAGAAAAGCTACAGCAGTCACAGTATGGTACTGGCATAAGGCTAGACATATGAATCAATGGAACATAAATGACAGTCCAGAAATAAACGATCACATGTATTGTCTATTGATTTTCAACAAGGGTGCCAAAACAATTCAATGTGGAAAGAATAGTTTTTTCAAATGGTGCTGGGACAACTGTATAACCACATGCAAAATAATGAAGGTGGACTCCACCCAGACTTCACACCATATATAAAAACTAAAAATGAATCAAATACTTAAATGTAAGCACTAAAGCTATAAAACCCTTAGAAGAAAACAAGGAGTAAATCTCTATGACCTTCTATTAGGCCAACAATTTCTCAGATATGATACTAACCTAGGTATGAAAGCCAGAATCCTTTATAAGAATCTGAGTTTCACTATAATTATGATAGCAACACAGGAAAAAAAAAAAGGAATTACAGTTAATAAAAATTAATGAATTCATACTAAAACATTTACTGAATGCCATGCCCATGGTGTGTCAGCACTGTACTAAGTGCTGGGGGTACAAAGAATTGGGCAGGGACTTTATCCCCAAGAAACTTTTATACTGGAGGGGGAAGACGGATGCTGATGAGAAAATTTTTGAGAGTCGTAACAGCATCTCTACCTGAGGGTGACCAGACAGGAGGGAGACAAAGTGGGGAATGGGTGGTGGGTTAGAAAAGATTCCTAATAGAGGAAGCACCAAGTTGTTTATCTTGAATTTCTGGGTTCATCTTAAATGACAGAAAAAGATAAAGAATCAGAGCTAGCTGGTGTTAGAAATAAATGAATACTCCTATCATGTGATTTGAATAGAGCTGTATTTCTAAAACTAATTCACAGTTACTTTCAAAAGATTGTCACAAAAGCATGTGTGTATTGGGGGCTGGGATCCTTTGTTTTGGGCCAAATCTTTGTAACAGAAAAGCTAATTTGCTTCAGGAAATATTTGCCATAGTGAGATGTAAATTTTATTGTATCTCTTTCCAAAGGCAATTTGCCAAGGGAAGATGCCACCCCTCAAGTTAAGTCATTTTATCACCTATATGATATATTACTGGGGTTTTTATAGATTGGAACAATTTTTTTCCTTGCCTTAAATAAGTTTGTAATAAGTGTGAGGTGGATTTATCATGAATTTTATAAAGCTTATGCTTCAGAGCTCTTCATTTGCATATTTTCATATTCATAGTTTTGCATGTTTTTATTAGGATTTCCCAAAACAGATGAGGTCAGGCTCCATAAAATCCTGACTCACCCTGGGTTTCAGGTAATTATAATTCAGTAAGTTTCTGAATGGAGCCTCTATGTTATTGACAAACACTGAGTCAACAAGTTAGCAGCGTGTTAAAGAGTCCATTTTGAATCTGAAATCCACCAAAGACATGCCAAGAGCAAACTGGGTTTTTAACTCGACCAACCAATCACTGTATGATGTTTTCACACATAGGTTTTTACATGTGTTCATCTTCTATTTCATTTACAACTTGTGTAAATACTGCATTCCATGCCAGGCCTGAAATGTTCCAAAGCCACTTTTGTGATTAAATTGCAACCAAGATTTCTACAAAAAAAAAAAAAGACAAGCAAAAGAAGACAAAAAAAAATTCCTTCAGGTCATTTGTCCTTTGGCAGTGATTCTAATTCATATATGATAAAACAACCTCAATAACTCCCTCCATACGCTAAATAAATCTCACTGTAGAAGATACTTGCTTATGATTTATGTTTTCATGTTTATACATGTGGTACATTTGATACAAAACAGTGAATAACGGGTTTACAATTAAGTTTTATAAAAATTCTAAAAATAATGAAATTATATTTATAACTTACATATACTGCAAAGAAGGTAGTGAGTCAAATGTATTTCGTTCAATAAATTGTATTTCATTGCAGGATAAATCTCTAGAAAAAGTAAAAGAAAAATATTTCCTCAATTAGCTATTAGATATCTAATTAGTAAGAATAACTGGTAGAGGTTAGAATGATAATACTGAATACAGAGCTTTAGTCTGAACTCTAAACCTTAGGAATTGTGATTTGAACCTTCCAGGGCCCCTAACCCTACTCTCACCTCTCTAAGAGTCTCACCTTCATGATCTTCATAAATAAAATATACAATTCTAGGTCTTGATAGATTTTTAAGGTAATTTTCCTGAGAGCAGAAGAATCTATTAGATGACCTTTTGTGGTCTCATCAAATTTAGATTATGTTTGTTGATTTATTGATAGTAGCCATTCTGGCAGGTGTGAGGTAATACCTCAGTGTAGTTTTAATTTGCACCTCTCTGATGCTTAGTGACACTGAGCATTTTTTTCATATATATACTGGCCACCTGGATGTCATCTTTGAAGAAGTGTCTATCCAGGTTCTTTGCCCACTTTTTTTGTTTTGTTTTGTTATGTTAATGCTCACTCGAGGATATTTTTTACCATTAATTTACTTTTTAGAGAGAGTGGGAGGGAGAAATGGGGAGAGAGAACGAGACCGAGAGAGAGAAACATTGATGTAAAAGAGACACACAGATTGGTTGCCTCCCGCACATGCCCCAACCAGGGCTGAAGTTCAACCTGCAACCCAGGTACTGCCTTTGACCGGGGATTGAACCCATGACCCTTCAGTGCAGGAGCTCTAACCACTGATCACCAGCCAGGGCTGCCCATTTTTTTTTTTTTTTATCCTCACCCGAGGACATTTTTCCATTTTTTGTTCAGGTAGAGTGGGAGGGAGAGAGAGGAACAGAGAGAGAGAGAAACATCGATGTGAAAGGAACACATCAAGTGGCTGTCACCCGCACGAGCAGGGCCGGGGACAAACTGCAACCGAGGTATGCGCCCTTAGCAGGAACCGAACCCAGGTCTCTCAGGACCACAGGCCGACGCTCTAACCGCTGAACCAAACCGGCCAGGGCAAGGGATGCCCATTTTTATTTATTTATTTATTTTTTTATCCTCACCTGAGGACATTTTTCCATTTTTTGTTCAGGTAGAGTGGGAGGGAGAGAGAGAAACATCGATGTGAAAGGAACACATCGAGTGGCTGCCACCCGCACGACCGACCAGGGCCGGGGACAAACTGCAACCGAGGTACGTGCCCTTAGCGGGAACCGAACCCGGGTCTCTCTGGACCGCAGGGCGACGCTCTAACTGCTGAGCCAAACCAGCCAGGGCAAGGGCTGCCCATTTTTAATTGGATTGTTTGTCTTCCTGGTATTGAGTTGTATAGGTTATTTATATATTTTGGAAATTAACCCCTTATCAGATGTATCATTGGCAAATATATTCTCCCATACAGTGGTTTCCATAAAAATTTTTTTTCTTTATTTCTTTTGAGAAAGAAAGGAAGGGAGAAGGAGAGCTAGAAACACTGATGAGAGAGAACATCAATTGGCCACCTCCTGCATGCCCCCCACTGGGGATCAGGCCCATAAACCTGGACATGTGCCCTGACCAGGAATCGAACCAGCAGACTCTTGGTGCATGGGTTGACACTCAATCACTGAGCCACACCAGCCCAGCCAGTGGGTTCCATTTTTATTTTGTTGATAATTTCTTTTGTTGTGCAGAGCTTTTTAGTTTGATGTAGTCTCATTCATTTATTTTTTCCTTTGTTTCCCCGTCCTAGGAGATATAACAGCAAAAATATTGCTACAAGAGATATCTGAGATTTACTGCCTATGTTTTCTTCTAGGATTTTTATGGTTTTATAACTTACATTTATGTTTTTTATCCATTTTGAATTTATTCTTGTGTATGGTGTAAGTTGGTGGTCTCGTTTCATTATCTTCATGTACTGGTCCGATTTTCCCAACTCCATTTATTGAAGAGACTGTTTTTATTTTTAATTTTTATTTATTTATATTTTTATCCTCACCCGAGGACATTTTTCCATTTTTTTGTACAGATAGAGTGGGAGGGAGAGAGAGGAAGAGATAGAGAGAGAGAAACATCGATGTGAAAGGGACACATCGAGTGGCTGCCACCCACACGACCAACCAGGGCCGGGGACAAACTGCAACCGAGGTACATGCCCTTAGCGGGAACCGAACCCGGGTCTCTCAGGACCGCAGGCCAATGCTCTAACCGCTGAACCAAACTGGCCAGGGCTGAAGAGACTGCTTTTACTCCATTGTATGTTCTTGCCTCCTTTGCCAAATAGTAATTGACCATGAAGGTGAAGGTTGATTTCTGAGTTCTCTGTTCTATTTCACTGATCTATGTGCCAGTTCTTGTGCTAGTACCAGGGTGTTTTGATTAGAGTGGCTTTGTAGTACAGTTTGATATCCAGTATTGTGATTCCTCCAATTTTGTTCCTCTTTCTCAAGATTGCTATACCTTAAGAAGCTAGAAAAATACCAAATAATCCAACCGTACACCTAAAAGAACTAGAAAAAGAACAACAAGAAAAACCCAGAGTAAGTGGAAGAAAATAATAAAGATTAGAGTGGAGCCCTGGATGATTTGGCTCAGTAATTAAAGCATCAGCCTGTGGACTAAAGGGTCACGGGTTTGATTCTCAGTCAAGGGCATGTACCAGGGTTGCAGGTTTGATCCCCGGCCCTGGTTGGGGTCATGCAGGAGGCAACTGATTGATGTGTCTCTCTTATATCAATGTTTCTGTTTCTCCCTCTCTCCTCTCTCTCTCTTCTCCCTCCCTCCACTTTATCTAAAAAAAAAAAAAAAAAAAAAAAAATCAATGGAAAAATATCCGCAAGTGAGGATTAACAAAATAAAATTAAAGTGGAAATAAATTACATAGAGATTAACAAAGCAATACAAAAGATCAATGAAACCAAGCTGGTTCTTTGAAAGGATAAACAAGATTGATGAATCTTTAGCTGGTCTCATCAAGAAACAAAGAGAGCCCTGGCCAGTTTGGCTCAGCGGTTAAAGCGTGGCCCTGCGGTCCGGAGAGACCCGGGTTCAATTCTCGCTAAGGGCACGTACTTCAGTTGCAGTTTGTCCCTGGCCCTGGTTGCCCGATGTGTCCCTTTCATGTCGATGTTTCTCTCTCTCTTCCTCTCTCTCCCTCCCACTCTATCTGTACAAAAAATGGGAAAATGTCCTCGGGTGAGGATAAAAAAAAAAAAGAAACAAAGAGAGAAAACCCAAATAAGTAAAATCAGAAATGAAGTAACAACTGACATCACACAAATACAAAAGATTGTAAGAAAATACTATGAACAACTATATGCCCAAAAATTGAACAATTTGGGCAAAATGGACAAATTTCTAGAAGCATACAATCTACTAACACTGAATCAGGAAGAATAAGAAAATCTGACTAGCTGGATAACAACTAATGATATTGAGGCAGTAATAGAAATTCATTTTTATTTTACATTGTTTTAATAATCCATGAATTTAATTGCTTCAGTTGTAAAGTAGTGAGACAATAAAAAACAACATGGTACCGGATTTTTATTCGAAAATACTCACTCTTGTCTACAGTTGACTCTCTTGTTTCCACTGATTCCAGCTTAGTCCCTCACTTTTCACCTGGATGCAAATAATTATCTTCTGACTGGTATTTCACCTCTAGCCTCTCCCTTTCTTTTCTTTAAAAAAAATTTTTTTTTCTTTATTGATTTTAGAGAGAGAGGGAGAGGGAGACAGAGGTAGAAACATTGATGAGAGAGAACATCAACTGGCTGCCTCCTGCATGCCCCCCACTGGGGATTTGGCCCACAACTGGGCATGTGCCCAGACCGGGAATTGAACTGGTGACTGCTTGGTGCATGGGTCAATGCTCAATCACTGAGCCACACCAGCCAGTGGTAGTCTCTCCCTTCCTAATCTATCCTGCACACAGGATCCAGAATAATACTCCAAAAGTGGTTCTCAAATACCAGCCAGTATCACTTGGGAAGTTACTGAAGATGCAAATTCTCAGCCCTACTCTGGACCAACTGAATTAGTAACTGTGGGGGTGGAGCCTGAGTTTTAACAAGCCCTCCAAATGATCCAGTTATAGGGTAAAATTTATCCTAGAGCACTGGTGTGAAAACATGGTAGCTTGGCATGTTATCCTTGGCTTGGCCTTCAAAGCCCTAGAAGATCTGACTCTAATCTCCCACTCTCCCTACTTATACTCTATAGATACTCAAGGTATTTTTCTTGTGTTTTACCTTTCCCTAAACTCCTTTTGCAAGCTTATTCTACCCAAGATGTCTGTCTGATGATCCCCAAGGGCCCTTCAAGATCTTGTTCAAACAGCATTGCTCTAGTAACATCTTTTAATTATTTTTTTTATCCTCACTCAAGGACATTTTTGCATTTATCTTCAGAGAAGCAGGAGAAAGAGAGGGGGAAGAGAGAGAGAGAGAAACATCGATGTGAGAGAGACACATTGACTGGTTGCCACCCACACAACCCCAATCAGGGCTGGGGACAAACTGCAACCGAGGTACGTGCCCTTAGCAGGAACCAAACCTGGGACTCTGGTCTGCAGGCCGATGCTCTAACAGTTGAGCCAAACCGACCAGGGCTCTATTAACATCTTTGCTGATCCAACTTGAAGTCTCTTTCCTCTGCTGTGTTCCAAAACCAGTTTATACCTTTCATTGCTCATATCCATTTCTTCTATTTAATACAGCTACTTTTGCATCCTATTTCCTCTGAGCATAAACTCCTTGAAAGTATGGACTGGGTCTTGCTCATCTGCATTGTCTACCATGGTTAAAACTGACACGTAAATATATGCAATCTAAAATATGTACACAATAGACAATAGCTAGAAAGTAGAGGGAAAAAAATGGCCATTTTAAAAGAAATGTAGTTTTATTACTTCATGGCTCCCTCTTGTGTGCCTCTGCAGCACACTGCCTTCCATTTAGTACTTGTGCATTATGGTTTGAGCTTATATGTTTATTTTCCCTGTGAGATCATGAGTTACTAAAAGGGTAGAAACCCTGTCTTACCCATCTTTGTGCCTACAACACTAAGTACAGTTCTTGGCATATTCTTTACTATCTTATTTATTGATTGGCATTTTTAAATGAATGGGAATACTGCCCTGGCCAGTCTTGCTCAATGGTTAGAGTATCAGTCCACAGACCAAAGAGTCTTGAGTTTGATTCCAGTCAAGGGCACGTACATTAGTTGTGGTTCTGCTCCCCGCCCTGGTCAGGGTTATGTGGGAGGCAACTAATCAATGTGTCTCTCAGACACATCCATGTCTCTCTCTGTCTCTCTCCCTCACACTCTATCTGAAAATAAATGGAAAAATATCCTCGAGTGAGGATTTTAAAATAAATAAATAAATAAATAAATAAATAAATAGATAGATAGATAGATAGATAGATAGATAAATAAATGGGAATACTTATACTAGCATGAAAAAATTAGCTTACAAAGTATTTTACAGTAAAAGTAATGAATGACCTAAACTATTGAGCAGTTACCTCATTTGTTTTTCTCCAAACTGTAAGGTTTGGAAGCCAGAGGGCAGAGGTACCCAAGAAGACCAATACAAAAGTGGTTGATGCCTTGGCCAGTTTGGCTCAGCACTTGGAGCATCGGCCTGTGGACCACAGAGTCCCAGGTTTGGTTCCTGCTAGGGGCACGTACCAAAAAAAAAAAAAAAAGTGGTTGTCCCCCTGAGGCTTGGATGTTTGATAATTCAAGACTATTTTAGTGTCATGTGAGGCTCTTTATACCCACTTCCCTTAAGCCCTCTGCATTTGCAAAAAGAATCTATTTGCTAAAGAGTATCATTAATTCGCTTAATAAGGATTAATGACATACATGGCTTTGGATGCCATGAACAAAGAATAAAAATTGAGCTTTAATAGCAAGAACATCTCCTAATTGCTAAATAAATAGAGTTACTAGGCAAACATTTCTTCCTTGACAAGGAAGCCGGAGAGATTTTGAATTTATAATTAGTGAAGTTAGGGGCATTTCTGATATGTTTATTTAGTGTAGACATTTCTAACTATACCACTTAACCATCGTTTAAAACATTTATTTTTAATATTAGTATAATAATTCCTGCATTAAAATCCTTAATACCAGTCTTCTCTCTTGATAACTTCATATGTTCTTAATAATACTGTTCACATAATTCATCTGCTTAAACATTTAATATGTAAGCGTTAATCTAATTTAGATTAGATTATCAAAAAATTCTGAGTTAATGGCATTCAAATTTCTTGTCATATAAAAGACAATTTCAGATTAACCTGAATTCCTCTAACTTTACTAAATCAACATTTAAAAATTTTCTGTAAATCCCAAACAGTAAATATTTTAGGTTTTGCAGGCCACAGTCTGTCTCACATATTCTTCCTCCCTCCCTCCCTTTTTCCCTCCCTCCCTCCCTCTTTCTTTCCTTCTTTCTTTCTTTCTGTTTTTTTTCTTTTATAGCCCTTTAAAAGTGTAAAAACCATTCTTAACTTATGGGATGTATAAAAACAGACCACAGTGCCAATGGGGGAAAAAAGGAGGGACATCTATAATACTTTAAACAATAAAGATAAGTTTTTTAAAACCCCCAAAATAAAAACAAACCAGACCATAGGTCCGATTTGATCCATGGGCCCTAAACTAAATATAAATATAAGTAGATGGTATATGAACATTTATATAACCAGGTTTGTATTGGTGTGAATAATTACTCAGATCTCATTACCACTTTTCCTCCATAACTGAAGAGTTTTCTCTATCTGTATCTTGTATACATGGTTAAAAAACTGAAAACACATAGGAGATATTAAATGCTACAGAAGGGCTGGAGCCCTACATATACTTACAGAATTATAGAATTTTATTGCTGGGAGAAATTATAGAAATTATCTAATTTGAACTCACTATTTATTTTATAGATAATATAACTAAAAAAACTCATAAATAAATATAATTAACTTACAAGTACTGGAGGGAATGCAGGCCTTCAAATGAATCCTTATGTAATTTTCTCAAATTATTTCCACTGAGATTTCTGAAAAATAAAAAGGTTATTTCTGGATCAAAATGCAAAATAACTACAACTATTTGTTGTACAGAAATATATAGAGAGAAACCTGGGTAATGGTTCCAATGAAATATCCTAATTTTTATTTACTTTAAGGATGGTGATCTCTGCTCTTTTTTATTTAAACTTTTCTCACGTCCTCCTATGTATTCTTTTCTCTCCATCACTCTCTTATACACACACACTGTCCACTCTTCCCACCAAATCATGTAGTTACTGTCTACTCACAAAGTGTCTGTTAGAACCCAGCTCTGGGTGGTATCAACATTGGCAGAACTACCATTTCCTCCCCTCTTTTCCCAAAACTTGTTATGAAAGCCCCATAACAGCACTGTATCAGGGCTGTAAGTGAAGTCATTTGATGAGTCCCACCATTAAAAAAATTATTTTGAGAGTTAAAATGTGCATAAAATGCACACAAGATAAACACAGATATCCACAGAACACCATTCATGTCAAGAAAGAACACTGCCAGCGTCCCAGAGGCCCACTGGCTGCCCTCTCCAATCACAGCCCTTGTTCAAGGATGTTAGCAACAACTTGGGTATGTGATGCTACTTTTCCAAGTGTAAATTCATAAAAATCTAAATATAAATGAAGACTCTCTGATAAGAAAATTTAGCAACCAAATTGAGATTTTAAAGATTTAGTAAGGAAAAAAGAATGTAAACTCTCTACCAGTTTTTCTTTCTTTTTTTTTTATCTTCAGTCGAGGACATTGTTTCATTTTTTGTTCAGATAAAGTGGGAGTGAGGGGGAGAGAGAGAGAGAGAGAAACATCGATGTGAAAGGGACACATTGAGTGGCTGCCACTCGCATGACCCAACCAGGGCCGGGAACAAACTGCAACCGAGGTACATGCCCTTAGCGGGAAATGAACCCAGGTCTCTCTGGACCACAGGCTGACACTCTAACCACTGAGCCAAACTGGCCAGGGCTCTACCAGTTTTTCTATTGATTCCATGTACGAATGACAATACTTTGGATATTTTGAAGACTTAATGTGACAAAATGTAGAATATACTATTAATAATCTATTAATTATTATATGTTGAAATAATAATATTTTGGATATAAGAGTTAAATAAAATGTTAACATTTCTTTCACTGTTTCTTTTTACTTTTACTTTTATTTTTTTCCATTTATCTTTAGACAGATTAGGAGGGAGGGAGAGGGAGAGAGAGAGAGAAACATCGACGTAGGAGACACATCGAGTGGTTGCCACCACATGACCCCAACCAGGGACAGGGACGAACCGCAAATGTATGTGCCCTTGGCCGGAATTGAACCTGCAACTCATTGGTCCGTGGGCCAACACTCTAACCACTGAGCCAAACCAGCCAGGCTCTTTTTACTTTTAAGCGGCTACCACTGTAGGACGATATCATACATTATTTATTCTTTCTACCATTGGTGGATACTAAGATTTTTCTAGTTTTTAGTTACTACAATAAGGCTTTGAACATTTTGTACTGGTATCCTGATACACATTTGCCTGAGTTTCTCTAGGATATAATAGGTATACAAAATTGTTTTCCTAAGATGTTATGCTATTTCAAGTTGGCAGAATGAATAGTCCAAGTCTCTACTCCTCCAACCTCCATCAAAATCCCTAAGAATAATGGAAAAGATAATCATTTAAAAATCACAAACTTAGCTCAAAGCATGGGAGCAGCTCCACAAATGGTCCCTGACCAGAAATGCCCTGGAGCACCCTGCAGGAGATCGTTGGGATGCTGCACTAGGAGTAGCTGGCAGATCATCAACCCCACATCTTCCCTCCTCGGAAGAGGCAGCAAAGGGTGTCTGCCTCCAGCTAGGAGCAACTGGTATTAGAAAGGGGGCAGGGCCCCAGAACCCTGGAGAAAAGGTATGCATTCCCTGACTAGCCCCCAGCAGAAATCTCCACCTCTTCCTGATTCTCGGGGGAATCCACTGGAATAGCAAGCTCCAGCAGTTCATTTCACCTCTCCCCTGGAGCCAGAACACAGAAGCAGTAGGAGCTAAATTACAAAGATGAATTGTTCTCAGGAATGACCAAACAGCTTGAGAAAGCCAACTCCACTAAGGACAGAAAACAAAAACAAACATAAAACAGTTTATAGCCAATGAATCAGTTAACAGAGACAGCACAAGAGGACTTCAGAATAGCATAATATCCTCCGACAAAAGCTGACATTATATTTATGGAAAGAATAAGCTCAAGATTATACAAACGAAATGATACCATTCATTAAACAACAACAACAAAAACCTCAGTATATGAGCAGCAGAAATGATAGTTGAATAAACTAGAAAACTGAGAGATCCAGCCAATTAGTTCTCTATAATGAAAAAGGAAGGGGACAGGAATGATCCACAGACAAAGCCTGACACCTGGTCTGCCCAAGGAATGCAAAGGCCTTTGCTTTACCTAGTCTTGCAGTAACCACCAGAAACAGGCTTTGGGTAGAGGTGGGCTGTGGGAGGAGGGGGGAAGTTTACACTCATTTCTTTGACCTGACGATCAGAAAGGCACATACAGCCAGTGTCTCCAAGGTGAAATGAGGGAGTGGTAGAGAGCCAGTACAGGAGAAACCATAAAATGTCAAAGGTAAGTGTGTCTTGCTGGGAAAATCCCCGTCCTTGCACGTAATATTAAGTTGAACATCTTTTAGGAGCCTTGGGAATTTGAGAACATGCTGTTGCCTTGTGAAACTATTTCTACCAAAGTTCAGTATTTGAAACATTCTGCTTCCCCTCACAGTGTCTGATGGCCCCATATTTATATTAATTCTGTCTCATAGCAGCATTCTGCCTCAAAGCTTAATTATTTACTCATAACTATAGCAAAATATTATTGCCTGGAAACTCTACAACTGAAATCAAGATAGTTCTCAGTTATAAGGTAGTTCATATGGCACAGAATATAGTTACATTTTAAAAAGACCATTAAAATAAAAACACAAAAACTTTAACTCCCACAAACAACTCTTGGGAGTCCTAAGAATATATCAGACCCTGACCTCAATTTGAAATTCACCACATTAGAAGGAAAAGCAGTGATGGTCAGAATATGTATGAAGGGGGAATAGTCAGAGGTGTTGCTTTGACTGATAGTTTTCTTACCTTCCTTAAGTAATGATTTTATAGTTCCATGGAAATGATCCAAAGAGAAAAAAAAATCAATATGTCCAATGATGTTTATAGTAACCCTTTTCATAAGAATAAAAAGTTGGAAAAAACCGTACCTCCCCATATCACTTAACAAAACTATATATATATATATATATATATATATATATATATATCATACTGATGATGTAAAAAAAAAAGTCATAGGAAATAATGGTATATGAAAAAAAATCAAGACAAAAATCAAAGTTGCATATACTAATTAACTTTAAAATATATAAACCTCACAAGGATTCAATAAGGACAGAGGTGAAATGAGGGCTAATCCTCAGCTGTTTGTAACAGTTTTCTCTAACTGGCTGAAGCCCGTGTCAGACAGACTGTTTGGTGGAAGAGTTTGAATATTATGGTAAAATGAGGAGTAACTAAAGGATATGTATATATTTCATATTAATGGGATTTATTTTTGTTAAGTTGTTTAGATGACAGGATAGTAAAAAAAATTTTATTTTTTATTAAAAACTTTTTTTTCTTTATTGATTTTAGAGAGAGAGGAAGGGAGAGAGAGAGAGAGAGAAAGAAACATCGATGGGCGGGAACATCGATTGGCCACCTCCTGCATGCCCCACACTGGGGATTGGGCCCACAACCTGGGCATGTGCCCTGATCAGGAATTAAACCAGAGACCTCTTCGTGCTTGGGTGGATGCTCAACCACTGAGCCACACCAAAAAATTTAAATAACAATAATAAATTAAATCTGGAAGGAAAGTTTTGACTGAGAAATTTCCAACCAATCACCCTAAAAAGGAGCCTCAAATAAGCAACTAACTTGTGTAAAATACACTGATCTGTAGAACTTCAAATATTCATTTTGACTAAAGAAAAAAGTTAAAACTATAGAAAATCAGAGTTAAAGCCAGATCTAAGCTTTTCTCACACCATGAAAATATCAAAATCAGGCATGAGCTAACATTTAAGAAATATCCGTGTTTGACTTCTGGTCAGGCTTTGTTTCACGACGGCTACCTTCTGAATGTCACAATAATTATTCTTGAGTTTATGTTATTGACAATTATCCTTAGCCCCACCTGTGTAATTTCCAGAAAACTGAGAGGGCTCATGGTTTCTTTGGAGGCCTTAACTATACATATAATGCAAACAATAGGCCATTCTAGAACAGATTCACTTTCCTTCCCCAGTTTTCTTTCTCTCCAAAGATTTTATCAATACTTGAAATTATATCTATCTATATATTTATTTATTTATTTTATTTTTATTTTTTATTCTGAGGACACCCTTCTATTTTTTATTCAGATGGAACAGGAGGGAGGGAGAGGATGAGAGAGAGAGAAACATTGACATGAAAGAAACACATCGAATGGCTGCCACCCACGACCCAACCAGGGCCGGGGACCAACCGCAAACGAGGTACATGCCTTAGCGGGAACCGAACCCAGGTCTCTCCAGACCACAGACCAACGCTCTAACCGCTGAGCCAAACTGGCCAGGGATCTATCTATATATTTATATATCCATTTTTATATTATATACTTGTAAATCCCTTGAGAACTGGGGTATTTTGTCTATTTTGTTCTTGGGCCTGTAATCCTGGCAGGTAAAACAGTTCCTGACACGTAAATACTTGCTCCGTAAATACTTTTTCAATGAATTCAGAAAGTGACAGGTATCATTTTCAGTATACTACTATTATTTAAAACAAATCATCTGCCTGGCCAGTGTGGCTCAGTGGTTGAACGTAGTCCCATACCAGATCACTGGTATGATTCCCGGTCAGGGCACATGCCCAGGTTGCGGGCTTGATACCCAGTAGGGGGCGTGCAGGAGTTGGCCCATTGATTTTTCTCTCTCTCTCTTCCTCTCACTTCCTCTCCCTGAAATCAATAAAAAATTAACAAACAAACAAATAAATAAAATCATCCATTTGCTATCACTCATGAGGGTAAGTACAGCTTTACAGGAAAGGAGATGTCTTTCTTCTCCCCTACATTTGTGACTCTCAATCTTTTGAGACAAGAGCCCTGTAAGAATTTCATAAAAGCAGTGGACCCTTTCCCTAAAAAACTGCACTTTCTTGAATACATGCAAAAGTGCACACATAATATCCATTGGTGGATTATTCCTTTAGGGTAGAGGTCAGTGAATAGGATTGAATGGATTGAATTCAGGGGGCCAAACCTGAATGGGAAATCAAATTACATCTCTATTTTCACAAACCTCTAACTAAAATTAGCATTGCCTTGCACTGTGAATGTAGGCTACAAGCCATAGTAGATTAGCAGTATAGTAGTTAGTTGGGTCTCCAACAGGATGACAGATATTTTCATATCACATATTTGTTACAGATATCTTAAAGTATCATTTATTTATTCTCATCACTATCTAGAAGTTATAACATTTATTAGACCTACCACTATAGCCTGTTATTTAATATGTTAAGAGAAGCAGATTTATTGCTATATTAATAATCTCTTTAAAAATATTTTGAAAACTGCATTTCAATAATAGATTTCCTTTATTTTCCTATATATTTTAACTTATAAATCATTTAAAAACATAGTCCTCGAGAACATAGGCTTCTGCAGATCACGAAAGAGACATTTGGGGGTGGGAGGGTGGGAGGGGAAAGGTTAAGAAATCCTGCCCTGGGAGTCCATTGACCCTAAGTTAGGAAACTCTCTTATTAGGTATAAATCTCAAGCTGACTTATAAATCTTCAAACCTTACCAGATTCATGTTATTGTGTATAAACTCCCAAACACAAGCTTTTAGAAAATTAATGTTTACATTTCAATTTATTTAAAAAATATGTAATGTAGATTTTCATGGCTCAAAATTCCAACGGTATAGCATACAAAATCCAAAGTTTTTTCTCCTACATCATCTTTCAGACTATCCCACTCCCTCTACTCCTTAAAGGAAACTGTTATTTGTTTCTTGTGCCAAATGACTTCCATTTTTCTTACTAGATACTATCATGGAAAATAGAAACTATATATAGTTTCAAAAAAAATTCATAAATTAAAAAAACAAAACTGCCTGGTTCTAGCATTTTCCCCCTTACCAATAAGATATCAGACTAAGGGAGGAATCTTTTAGGGTAGTCATAAACCCTACTTTTAGATTACAATGACTATTATGTCTTTTATTATTAAATCAGAAGTCATTTATGACATCTGTTCAAGTTGAACTAACAATATGACACACAAACTGTCTTGAAAAATGCCAGTTAATTACCTGGAATGTAAATATTTTATCCCAAATCCCTTATGTATCTAAACTAACTTTTCTACAAATGAATAAAAAAAAGATAAACAAAAGAAAAATAGGCAAAAAAAAAAAAAAAGAGGACAAGGCAAATTCAGAGAAGGAATACAAATGTCTGATAAATATATACAGATATTTAAATTAACAAGTAATCACAAAAATTCTAATTTAGATGGGACCTCTTTTATTCATCCATTAGATCAGACAAAACATGGAGACTGTCCAGTGGTGGAAGGGTAGAGGAATGCTGTCGTGGACTACTGATTGGAGTGTAAGCTGCCACAGCTTCTTTGGGGGGCAGTTAAAATGTTCTATCAATATAGTCTTCACCTCAACAATTCCATTTCTAAATATCTATTCTGCAGAAATACCTGCCCATGCCCCCAGAGATGCAAGTACAAAAATGTTCGTTGCAGCAATACATGTAACAAGAAAACTGAACATAATCTAAAAATCTACCAATAGGGAGATTAAACTATGGAATATTATGTAGGAGTTTAAATGAATTGGGTAACCCTCTATGTACCAAGAAGGAAACAAATATAATATATATCATGAGGTGAAAGAATTAAATTGTAGGAGGTAACCATTTATGTAAAAAAAAAAAAGATATGGCCTGGCCAGTGTGGCTCAGTGAACTAAGCATCATCTCATGGACTGAGAGGTCCCAGTTCAATTCCCCTCGATCCTCAGTAGGTGGTGTGCAGGAGGCAGCTGATCGATGTTTCTTTCTCTCTAAAAAATCAATAAAAACATATTTTTTTTCAGTTAATTAAAACATATTTTTAAAAAATATATAAAAACCACACAACACACCTATTTTGCTATCTGTAAATATAGAAGTAGGCAGCCCCAGCCGGTTTGGCTGAGCAGTTAGAGCATCGGCCTGCGGTCCAGAGAGACCGGGTTCGGTTCCTGCTAGGGGCACATACCTTGGTTGCAGTTTGTTCCCGGCCTTGATTGGGTCATGTGGGTGGCAACCACTCGATGTGTCCCTTTCATGTTGATGTTTCTCGCTCTCTCTCTCTCTCCCTCCCACTTTATCTGAACAAAAAAATGGGAAAATGCCCTTGGGTGAGGATTAAAAAAGAAATAGTCAAATGCATGGGAAAAGGTCTGGAAGGATATACAGTAAACTTAGAGTAGCAGGGTTACTTTAAGGGTGGGGGATGAGGGTACAAGCAGGGTTTTCACTACATCTGTAATTTCATTTTTATATATTGAGAAAGTAATCATGTATTACTGTTATAATGGAAAATAAGTTTATATTGACTCTTATTTTAAAGAGGGCCTACCACATTTAATTTTAAAAATAAACACAGAATTGCAATCAGTAGAGGTTGATTTGGGATATGGAGGGGGAAATACATTTTCTCAGAGCTACTGACCTAAAAATTCTGGACCAAGAAGGATCTTAAAATGCAGTTAGTTTTCTTAAAATTCATTTTTGGAGAGAATATACTCACAATTTCTCAACCAAGTGGTATGACTTCCATGTATCTTTATCAATGAAAGAAATAGAGTTTCCTTGCAAGTTTCTGTGAAGAAACACAGTTAATATTCTTGATAGGTAGGTCAAGAAAGAACAAGTAAAACAATCATGGCAACCTTGTGGGGAATATTCAAATGCAGAAAATACCAGCTAATTCCCACAGCTATCAGTTTCCCAGTTTTCACAATTAATAAAGACATACTGCCCTGGCCAGTTTGGCTCAGCGGTTAGAGCGTCGGCCTGCGGTCCGGAGAGACCCGGGTTCGGTTCCCGCTAAGGGCACGTACTTCAGTTGCAGTTTGTCCCCGGCCCTGGTTGGTCGTGCGGGTGGCAGCCACTCGATGTGTCCCTTCACGTCGATGTTTCTCTCTCTCTCTCCCTTCCTCTCTCTCCCTCCCACTCTATCTGTACAAAAATGGAAAAATATCCTCGGGTGAGGATAAAAAATAATAATAATAATAAAAAAAAATAAAGACATACTGTGGGACCTGGGCACAAACAGTGAAGCATCACCTCAGAACCTGGACTTCTCTTGGATGGGTAATGCCAGTTCATTACATTGAATGAATGTATTTTTTTCCAAAACCATTTGTGTCTAAAATGACTCCTACTACAAATCAATGAGATTTTCAACAGAAAAATAGCAAAAACTTATCATTATCAGCAAATAAATGTAAAGAAACCTTCTGCCAAGCCACACCAAAGCTTTTGCTCAGTGCCCTCTGTGGAAATCTCTGCAGGTGTTAGAAAGAGAAGGGCAGTTAGAAATTAGAGGGCTAATATGGAAAGCTTTCATAGACATATCTGACAGGGAAAAGCACACATCACTGAGCAAGGAGTAAAGTATTACCTCTTAAGGGGGGAAATGCAAGAAAGAAAAGAAAAAGGATAGACACACACCAAAATGGTAACAGGAGTGGTAGAAAGGGTTTGGGTGAGACTTTCGCATTTTATTCTATATACTTCTGTGACAATTTAAAAAACAACACAGTGAGAATGTCTCCATGAATTACAAATGTTTAAAAGAAGCTGTTAAATTCCTGAGGTTCAACCACTAATTCTATGGATGACTTTGAATCTTTACCTTTAGCTTTTTCCTCTTCCCTCAGCAATAACGTACCTGTTCAGTTCTCACACATTTTCCAGGAAGGTGAGAAAAAAGTCAAACAGATACCTGTCTGCTCCTCTGCCTAGTGGATATTTCCATTCAACCAGGAGCCTTCTGGCTGCTTTATGCCCACCAATAAAAAATGCCCACTGAACTCACCTCCCTCAAACTGGCCCTCCTTCCCAACTATTTGTCCACCTGTTATACCATCTCCTCATCGCCCAGGACAGAAACTTCCCAGGGTCATATCTGATCTTCCTCTTTCCTGTACATCCCACCCCAGCTCCAGTCAGTTACTAAATCTTGCCTGTCCCTCCATAGTGTTCCCAGGAGTTTCTTTCTACTCCTATCACAACCACTCGGATTCAGCACCTTCTCACTTCACTCCTAGATTTTGCTAGAGCATTCGATTTGGTCTCCCTGAGTCAAACTTTCCTCTCTAGATCGCTCTACAAATGGAATCTAAAAATAATTCTCTTATTTTAATCATCTGTCTCTCTCACTTGAAAACTTTCAGAGGCTCTCGTTATCTCAATGTAACTTCCAAACCCCTACAGCTGTCAACTAAGGGTTTTCATCATATTTTTCACTGCTTCCTAAACCAATTCTTTACAGCCACAGGTCTATTAAGTCCTGATCATTCTGCAGCCACACCTTTGCCTAAACTGTACTCACTACTTTTTTCTCTATTTGACAAACCATAGCCACCCTGTAAGTCCCAGCTAAAGTTCTGGCTTGTCCATGCTGCTTTCCCTGACTTCCACACCCCAGTGACTACAGATTCTGCTGAATTATAGCACCTCTGGCCTGTATCTCTTTTAGTACTTAATTATATGTCACCTCCTTTTTTATGTATATTCCTTTTCTTCCCACCTACCATGGTCACGTTCTATAGACAATGTCACGCTTCTGTGGCTCCCACAGTACTTAGCTCTAGGTTGGGAACAAGGTGGGTGATATATATAGCAAGCCAGGGGGCAAAGATGAGTCCTGGACATAACTGAGGGATTGAATAATAATAATAATAGCTAACACATACATAAGTTAGGCACTGATATAAGTACTTCACATGTATTAACTCATCTAAATCTCACAATAATCCTATGAGACAGTAACTATCATAATCTTCATTTTACAGATGAGGAAATTGAGTCCCAATGCTAATAAATGACATACCTGGGTTCAAACCGACCCCGGCTCTAGAATCTCTACTCTTTTTTTTTTTTATCCTCACCCAAGGACATTTTTTGTTCAGAGAGAGTGGGAGGGAGAGAGAGGGAGAGAGAAACATCGATGTAAAAGGGACACATTGAGTGGTTGCCACCTGCACGACCCAACCAGGGCCGGGGACAAACTGCAACCGAGGTACGCGCCCTTAGTGGGAACCGAACCTGGGTCTCGCTGGACCGCAGGTCGATGCCCCAACCACTGAGCCAAACTGGCCAGGGCTGGAATCTCTACTCTTAACCACTTGGTTGTATTACCACCAATGAGATGGGGAGAGTGCCATGCTGCTGTAAAGAGGATGGAGCAAAAGTGGAAGGACAGAGGAGGTTAAGGAATGCAATGATGGGGCTAAAAAAATGGATAAGGCAAAATAATACGGGCAACTGAAAGTAAAAGACTGGTGCCTGGTCGGTATGGCTCAGTGGCTGAGCACTGACCTATGCACCAAGAGGTCGCTGGTTTGATTCCTGGTCAGAGCACATGATCCCAGTGGGATTGGCAAGAGGCAGCCAATCGATGTTCTCTCTCATCGGTGTTTCTGTCTCTCTCTTTACTAATATCAATAAAGAAAAAAAATTTTTTTTTAAGTAAAAGACTGGTGAAGGAGAGAACAATAGTAAGAAGGAGAATGAAGATAAGGAATAGTTGATAAGCAAAAGATAAAAACAGATAGTCAGTCAACTGACTGGGGAAGATGAGGATGGCCCAGGAAGGCCTTGGGAAAGGCTGCCTTGTCATGCAGGATGCAGAGAACAAAGGAGGAAAGGCAATTCTCACAGGACAATGAAGGTGCTGTTGGGCTCCGGTACAGGCACTCTGTGGAGCCTCTGCTCTGGACTGAGACCAGTACACGACAGTGTCCCATTACTGCAGGTACACAGCTCACATATGTTCATGGTGGCACTCTGTTTAGTCATTGTAGAAACTGTCTCAGATGACTCTGGTTGCTGAATTATTGTAATGTCCAGGTGCAAAGGCTGAATAGTGACTTCAATCAAGGTTCGTTGCTGAGCCTGAATGGGGTCTGGAAGTGGAAGTGTCACCTCATGGTGCTTTGGTGGAGCTGTAGTCTGCTGCAGGGCTGTAGCATCAGCCCCTGTAGGAGGTTGCTGAATTATTGTGACTTCCAGGTCCAAAGGCTGAATAGTGACTTCAATCAAGGTTGGCTGCTGAACCTGAACAGCTTCTGGATGTGGAAGTGTCACCTCAGGGTGCTTTGGAGGAGCTGTAGTCTGCTGCAGGGCAGTAGCATCAGCCTCCCAAGTAGGCTGAGCTGGGGTCTCCTCCTGGGATGGAGATGATTCCATCTTCTCAGGGGGGTTTTGAGGGACCTCCTGCTGGGTTGAAAGGACTTGCTGAGCTGGGGTCTCCAGAGGGGCTGGAGGTTTCACTTCCTCAGGGGCATCTGTAGGCAGAGGTGAGTCCTCTTCTCGGAGTGACAGAGATTTAACCTGTTCAATGGTATTTGAAGGCTCAGGTGGGGGGTTTTGCTGATCCGAAGGCCAGGGCTCAGTCGTCCCTGGGAGGACAGAGATCAGCAGGACAGGATCCAGGGCCAGTTCAGAAGGCTGAGCTTCCTGGACCAGCAGCCACAACAGCTGCCACGTAAACAGGAGTCGTGGGGGCCGGAGGTGCGGCCTGGACATGACAGGCAGAGGTTCAGAACAAAGCAAGCGACTCAGATAAGTGGGGAACAGGGAGCAATGCAGGTGAGTGGGCTCTGGCACCATGCACTGAGGGAGAGCGGAACAGCTGGCAGCCGTGTCACAATTGGCAGCCGTGTCATGCATGCGGCCCTTAGCAACCAAGCACCTCCTTCCACACCTCAGGTTCCAATCTTTATTTAGGCAACCTCTATTAGTCTTGGGCTGAGAGTGACTGCAGAAGAGTGAGCCTTTCTCAGAATCACCAGGAATCAACTGGTCCTTTTCCCCTATACAGGGGACAACTACTTCTCACTAAGCCCCCCCCCCCCCCACCATGAGACAAGATTTGGGCTGCACACCTGGGTGGCCTCAGACTCCAGCAGCCCAGGCATGGTAGGATGGGGGGTATTAAAGGAGGTGGGAGTTGGGAAATGCTGGAGTTAGTTGGGAATCCAGTCCAATTCTGGCAATCTGAATGCTTCCTCAAAGCTGAAATCAGAGATATTTTTCCTCCTCTTGGCCATTCTGCTTCCAAGACAAGTACCTGACCTACGAAATGAACATCAGTTAAGTTGGCGGGGAGGGTACATACTTTACAGTTCTAAAATGTTGCATCTCCTTGAAATTCTCAGTATCCATGTCTGATTCTTTTTTTTTTTAATCCTCACCTGAGGACATTTTTGCATTTATCTTCAGATAGAGTGGGAGGGAGAGAGAGAGAAACATCAACGTGAGAGAAACACATCAACTATCTGCCACCCACATGACCCCAACCAGGCCAGGGACAAACTGCAACTGAGGTACGTGCCCTTAGAGGGAACCAAACCCAGAACTCTCTGGTCTGCGGGCCAATGCTCTAACCACTGAGAAAACCGGCCAGGGTCCATGTCAGATTCTTAATTCACCACTCTGATAGGTGGCTACCAGTGAATCAGTGATGACTCCAACATTTCTGTAAATAGGGTTTTGGTGTGTGTTTTTTTTGTAGTATGTGCCCCTAGCGGAAACTGAACTCAGGACTCTCTGGTCCGCAGGCCAACTCTCAACTGCTGAGCCAAACTGGCCAGGGCTGTAGATAGGATTTTGAAAGGTAAGCAGTTTATTCTGGGAAAGAGGGTCTGAAACCAAGTGAATAACCCTTTACAATAGTGTGGAGAAATGTCCTCCCACCATGGTTCAACATAGCCATTAATCTAGAAAAGTAACAATGCCACTTTTCTGAGGTCTACCCTGTGTACATACATGGAGAAGACACCTAAAAGCCCTGGCCAGTGTAGCTCAGTTGGTTGGAGTACTGTCCCGTACACTAAAATTAGGTGATGGGTTTGATTCCTGGTCAGGGCACATGCTTGGGTGTGAGTCTGATCCCTGGTCAGGCCCAGCATATTAAAGAATTTTCTTGAAATATTGTAACTAACACCCAACTTGCTTCCATTACAGCCCTTTTCATATTCTACTTTATTTTACTCCTTGTTTATTGTCTGGCATAACATCCAGAATGTAAACTCCAAGAGAGAAGGGGCTGCATCTTATTCCCAGTATCTAACACACAGTAATGGTTTTTAAATGGATTTGATTCCAAGATTGACCTCACTCAGGGATGGATCTCTTGGTATGATCAAGTTTCTGAAATCTGAATTCCAGCCTCACATATTTCCTAGGAAGACAGACTTCTTAAAGCCCAGGACACCACCAGAGCTTTTGTTTTCTGTAGTCATCATCAGAGGTTCCAAATTTCAAAATTCTAGCTAAGTATTCTCAGAAGTCCCACGAAAGTTAAATGCAAGGACTACTCTATTTCAACTATGATTTAATTTTTTTAAATTGGTAAATGCTTCATTTCAAGGTGCTGTAACAACTTTACCAAATGCCTATTCAAAATAGATTTTCTATACAATCCTTCCTAGGGGATTGGCAACATATGTCATAAAACCTATAAGCTGGCCCGGCTGGTGTGGCTCAGTGGTTGAGCATTGACCCATGCAACAAGTGGTCGCTGGTTCAATTCCTGGTCAGGGCACATGCCCAGGTTGTGGGCCCAATCCCCAGTGGGGGGCATGCAGGAGGTGGCCAATCCATGTTCTCTCTCATCAATGTTTCCATCTCTCTCTCCCTCTCCCTTCCTCTCTCTCTAAAATCAATAAAGAAAAAAAAACACAAACCTATAGGCTGAAATAACTGAATTTTAACAATAAAAATAAAGTCTTATTCAGCCAAATACCTCTAGCTTAAGCTAAACTAGATGATTTCAAATTTGTATTTACAAGTTATCATCCCTACAGTAACATGTCATGTGAGTACCTTACATACCAATTTCAGTTTTTCTCCATAAAAGAAAAACACTTAATCTCCAGCGAATAAAACTTTTTAAATCTGATTTTAGAAAATTAAGCTAATAACATCAACCAATGTCTTTGCATCACCAATAGTTATATTACCTACATAAAATACTCAATAGATGAATAGATGAGTTATTTCTTTATTTTATTTCTTTTCCATCCCCATTTATCCCCTGCATCCCCTCTTCTACCTCCACCCACTCTCCTCCTCCTCCTGCAATCATCACACTGTCTATAACCATGAGTTCTCCCTCTCTCTATTTTTCTCTTTTACTAGGAATTTTTTTTAAAAAATCCTTATTTGACAGATAGCCACCTTCTCAGCTCTGACCCCAGATCCTGGAAACCCAATGACCAATGACCATGAGCCAGGCCTAAGTGTCAGAGTGCCCAGAACCTCTTCTTTGCCTGCTGTCTGGCACCCCAGTCCAGTCTGACCTCCTCTTCTGCTGGAGCCCAAGCCTGAACAAACTTACCACACCTCTAAGAGGAAGAGGAAGAAGAGGTTTCAGTAAGAAGTCCTTTCAAATGACCTCAGAATGAAGTTTGCTGAAATGAAGTCTCCAGCACCAGTCTCCAATTCGAGGAGCATGATCTGGCTGTTCCAGTTTCTCACACTTGTCTCCTACCCAGGGAACACAGATTCACAAACCAGCACAACCTCACTGCTGGTGAAAGGGGTGCTGGGGGCGTCAGTAACTCTTCCCCTGAAGTTTCCTGAAGGACAGCAGAGTCAGTCCATCACCTGGCTTCATGATGGAACATCTATCATTTTCATACAGACAATGAAAGAACGAATCCAGGTGACTGATCCACAAGAGAAAGATCGACTGAATGTCACCCAGTCCTACTCCTTCCATTATCAGATCAGCAACCTGATAATGGAAGACAGTGGACCTTACCATGCCCAGCTAACCACAACAACCTCCACCGTGATTTCCAATTACAGCCTGGAGATCTTCAGACAACTGAGGAACTTACAAGTGGCCAATCACACTCAACTCTTTGAGAATGGGACCTGTGAGATCCACCTGACCTGCTCAGTGGAGAATCCAAATGACCACATATCACTCTGGTGGCAGGTCCCAGGAAACACAACTCTAGAGGAAGCAAACCCCACTATCTCTTGCAACCCCAAGAATTCCAATGAACAGACCTACACTTGCATAGCTAACAATACTGTGAGCAATGCATTCTTCTCTTTCTCTATCCAGAGTCTCTGTAAAGGTGTTTTTAATGAAAAAAACCAATACTTGGTTATCTTGTGGATTATAATGGTGCCTTCTTTTCTCTGTATCACTGTGTGTTTAATTGTTTGGAGGAAAAAGATAGCAGGTTCCTTTTCTATTCAGCAAACTCAGAGTCCTGTGGAGACCTCGAGGAACTCAGAGTATGTTCCACTCTCTCCAGGGAGGACTGTGTAGGCTCAGGTCACTCATCCAAACATGAGAACAGAAATCCCAATACCGATGAAAAATAGTGATTTCTCCACAATCTACTCAACAATTCATCAATTCAAACAGTAAACCCATTTCTTCTAGGGCAACTGTCCTTAACAACATAATCTAAGTTGCTGAAAAGTCTCAAAGGTATTCAGGAATGACACATCTTCTGATCCCATGGGAGACAACAAAACTTGATTTCTGCCTGGAAACTGAAATTAAATATCTAGGATGACTTCCAGTCCTTCAGACTTAAGTCTGCTTACCTATGTCAAACATTTAAGGAATCACATGATTTGTAGCCTATGATCCAAACAACATTTTCTAATCTGCTTCAGGACAAAACATGCTTCAGATGACACTGGATATTGACTTTCTCTTTGGTAACTAAGCAAATGGAGTTACAGTTGACAGAGAGACAGTTGATTTAGATCACATCTCTCCTTTTAGAAAGCAGCAGAATTGTGACTTATTTGGGAGAGAATACAGTGTGTTGGTTATGTGTGTTGTCTCGGGAGTTGGATGGACCCATGCTCAAATCATGTACTAGACATATCTCGTGGAACATACTGCTTAAGCTTTGTTCTCGCAGACTGATAAAGAGGGATGGTGATACACCGGCCCTATTACTCAAACCAGAAACCTGAGTTATCTTTGATTTCACCTTCTCTATCACCAGACCCTTTGGACTCTACCTCCAAAAATACATATCTTAAACCTATCTGCTTCTTTACAAATCTTCAACCACCATCCTATGTCTAATCATCATCATCTCTAACCTGAAATGCTATAATAAATGCTGAACAACTCTCCCCAGCTTTTGCTCTTATCTCCTTCTACTCTGTTCTCCAAAAGACAGCCAGAGTAATATTTTTAATATAAATCAGATCTTTCACTAGCTTGCTTAAAACTCTGCAAGATTTCCCCATGCACTTGGAATGAAACTGCATCTTCTTGGCCCTGGATGGTCTGGCCCATCTCCAGCCTCGGCTATCATCACTCTCCCACCACTATCTCTATTTGTCCTCCCTGATCTTTTAACTCCTCCATTAAAGGAAAGATTTCTTGCCATGGCAGGTTTGGCTCAGCGGTTAGTGTTGGCCTATGTACCAGAGAGTCCCGGGCTCGGTTCCCACTAGGGGCATGTACCAAAAAAAAAAAAAAAAAGGAAAGCGTTCTCTGTGGTAGAGTTATTCACATCTGCCTTAAGGCCCTTCCTCTGCCTGCTTTGCTCCTTCTTATTCTTTGGGCCTCAGCTTGCATATGTCACCTTCTAAAAGGGACTTTCTCAGACCACTCTATCTGAAGTGCCCTCCCCATTATTTGTCACACCTCCATGTCATTTACCATATGAAAAATAAAATAAAATCCTTATCTGAGGATATTTTTCCACTGATTTTTAGATAGAGTTGAAGAAAGGGGGAGAGGAGTGGAGAGAGAGGGAGAAACATCAAAGTGAGAGAGAGACATTGATTGGTTGCCTCCCCCACAACCCTGACAGGGGCCAGGGATCACACCTGCAAACCAGGTACATGCTCTTGACTGGGAATCGAACCCACAACTCTTTGGTTCTCAGGCCAACGCTCTAACTGCTAAGTCAAACAAGCCAGGGCTCTTTTTACCAGGAATTTAACATGTTAGTACTTACGCCAACATTCTAGTCTATAAAAATTAATCTAAAGTACCAACAAAATATATTCCTCTTTTAACCTTGACAGTACAGGATTCAAATACACCAATCATATCTCCTTATATGCTTTTAGAATATCTTAAACCAGCCCTTTTACTGTAAAAGATTGCTTTTACTTCCAAAGCATATACACATATACACATTTACCTGACAGCCTTCTTCTCTGTCTTTATTGTCTCAAAATACAGACACACCAAAAAAAAACCCTAATGAAACCAGTGCTTATCCTAAACAACTCACTGTCATGCACTGCTGCTCATTCTAGGCAAGTGGACATATTCTAAAAGTTTAGAACACCAAACGTGTCACCCCTTTTACCATAATCTTGAGAAATGATGTGTTTCAAAAAATAAAGCATCCAACATGTTAACACCACATCCAATAAAGAAAGAAAAATGCCTGGTAGGCAATATGAAGTAGCAGCTCAAAACACACTAACTCGTCCTGGCTGGTTTGGCTCAGTAGTTCCAGCATCATCCCATGAACCGAAGGGTCTCAGGCCTGATTCCCAGTCAAGGGCACGCACCTGCACTGCAGGTTCGATCCCCAGCCCTGGGGTTGTGCGGGGAGCAACCAATCCATCTCTCTCACATCGATGTCTCTCTCTCTCCACCTCCCTCCCTTCCACACAAAACACACTAACTCTGCTACTAAAAACATTCACTGGTCAAACTGCCTATCGAAATCTAATTAGACCAATGTTTAGTGTCCCAAATCCAAAATATTTAGAGTTATGGCACCCACTGAAGAATTATCAACACTTCATCTATTACAAGTTCTCATCTGCTAACAATCATTTATCCAACCAATCTTTGATGAGCACCTGTTACTGCTACATGCAGGACACTTTGCTAGGGAATGTAGGGGATATGAGATTAATATAAGGATATATAATCCTTAATTTTATAAAAAGAACAAGTATACACAAGGTAGACTGTCATTAAGAAAAACACAATGTTACGTAAGTACATAAATATGCAAGTTTTTTAAAAAAAGGGAAACCCAACCACAAATTGTAATTTAACTCGGCATATGCACAGCTATCAACCCTAAATTTTATTTGCTAGGCCTTCAAAAAGAAGTTAACATTAGCTGAAATGCCCTGCCAAAATGCCCTGGGATAGTGTAATTCAGTCTCCTCTCTCCAGACTCTTGGTAGAGAAGACCACATGTGATTTCTTCCAGTAAAAACTGTAACTATAAAAGATGTACTAAAATCAAGTTGGCAAGAAGTAGCCTAGTCCCCACTACATAAACAACATAAATACTTGATGCAATTCATTCCCTTTGTTCTCCAGCCACCCCTCCAGGCAGATGTTCTTACTGTCAGGCAAAAGAAGTTACCCTTTTCATTTGCTGTTGGTGATCTAAATGGGATTACACTTGGTTGAATACTCTTCCAGTAAGTATTTAAGTATTTATAAAAAACAGAAACATTTAAATGTATTTAACCACTTCTACTACTCTAGTCTCTTTAAAACAAAAAGTGAGGCACCTAACTTTTTAAATTTCTATTTCCTCTTAAACTTTTCTTTGTAAATGCTCTTAAAATTGGATTCTACTTAGTTAATTCAGATTAATAAACATATAAAGAAAAAAATCTTGTTATTGCTATAAATTATGCTTTTCCCCCCCACAATTTAGTAACATGCAACTATGTACTTAATACAACGCAGAAATTGTTGGTTAAAAAAAAAAAGCATCTCAGCACCAGCCTAGAAAAACTTTCTGTGAGAAAATTGAGAGAAGTCACCATGGAGAAATTCATTATAGATCCAGGAAGGGCTTTTATCCTTCTAACTAGGATAAAAAGAAAAAGTCACTTTCTAATAAATCCCCCAAAGGTATACTTTTGCTGTGTGACTTAGAAGTTGGTCCAAAAGTTCATCTTCAGCAACTCCGGCTGCAGGATCGACTGTCGATCTCCTGCAACAGGTGATACCAAACTGCGTTTCTCAGGCAAAGCAAGGGAATCACTCTAGTAAAACGCGATTTCTTACTTTTATTTTGGATTTTACCCCAATGACTGGATCGGATGAATTATCACGTTTTTTTTGGTTCTGTTTGGTTTCCTGCTTTGCTTTTGAATCAGCTGTTCACCAGCACGATCGCAGGAGCCCATTAGCACTCGAGAAGAAAGACGCACGCGGGCTGATCCATCCAGCACAATGGTGAAAGCACAGGCCAGGGTGCGAGACGTCGGGCTGCGTCTGTGCGCGCGCCACCGCCGGTCCACATCCTGCCGTCCGTCGAAGGGCGCCTAGCTCAGCGGCACCTTGGGCGTCACCGCAGCCTGGACGGCGGCCCACCTGCCCCAGCTGCCGCCGCGGTGCCGGGAGCGGAGCCCAGTGATCGGTCCGGTGCGGACGTGGGCGGCAGCGGCGGCCGGGCGGTAGCGCTTCGCAGCAGGAGCCGCGGGCTGCAGGTGCGTCCGGCCCGCCGGCCCCTCCTGTCGGAGCCGAGGCGGGGAGAAGGAAAACCGGAGGGTGGGGGTGGCAGAGGGAGGCGTCAGGGCGGGGGTGGGGGGCGCCCGGCCGACGGAAGCGGGTGGACGGAGAAGACCCACCCGAATTGCCGGGGCCCCGCCCCACCCCACCCCACCCCACCCCACCCCACCCCGACCGCTTTCAGCCGCCATCTTGTTTCTTCCCCGTCGCTCGGTGGCCGGGGACCGACGGCGGCCGCGTGCCGGGAGCGCGGTCACGTGAGCTGCGCCGCGGACTAGCGCGAGCGAGGTCCCGCGGCGGCCGCTAGGGAGAGCCGGGGAGCGGGGAGTCCGGGGCGCCCCCGCGCGGCGCGGCTGGGTAGTGCCCCGCACATAAAGCCTCGGGAGCCGGCTATCGGCGGAGCCCACGTTGGAGCCGAACTCAGCAGGGTCTCCTTCCTGCGTCTCCCCTTCCCGGCTCCGAGAGGAGGGCAAGGGAGCCCCCCGATGTACCTCCTCCCGCCCCCTTGGGGAACTGATGCTGAAGGAGCCAGAGGGTACTGCCAAGTGGGGCGGAGCAACCGAGGGGACTGGGCAGCACCGGCGACAGAGGGAAATTAACTGGGGGCGGGCGGGGAGACCGGCCCCGGAATGTGCGAGTCCGAAGGCTTGGTTCTGGAGAGTCCTGAGAGGGATCCCAGTGACAGCTGCGTGGGGTTCGCGCCGGGAACCGCGCGCGGGGCTGCCGGACCCCAGGGAGTCACTCCGAGGCTCCCTGCGTGAGCTCCGGCACTGCGTGAGCCCAGGGCCCCAGCTGGAAACGCGACCGCCTCAGCAAGAACCTTCCAGTGTTCGCAGAAAAGGTGACTTCCTGCCTTAAACCTACTTCAAAGTGTATGTTTGTGTTATCAGGAAATAATTTTAATTTCTTTTTTTTTATTTTTATCCTCACCTGAGGACATTTTTCTATTTTTTGTTCAGGTAGAGTGGGAGGGGGAGAGAGAGAGAGAAA